AAGATGACCCCTCCGCCCCACAGCTGTCTCAGGTTTGAACCCAGCAACCGACCCATTGACCACATGGACGAACTTCAGGAGCAGCCCGATGCCAGTCTTGCCTTGATGGGGTTCGTAATCGTTTCACCCAGGCCCTATCTGCTACGGACATCAACTGCGGTGGTGTCAACCTATTCCGCCGGGGATATCGAAGGAAGGAACAGCCGCATGGTGCCTGCATCAAAGATGGCCACCTGGAAGTTCGCTGCATCTTTGCTGCCGACCATGCCGAAACCACCCACTTTCCCGGTGGCCACCTGCGGCCAGTGCAGCAACTGCCGCAGGGGTCGCTCAACTTTCGGAGGATCATTCCTGAACTATAGTGATGGAATGTGATGGAATATGGATATCATCAGACCATGACACCCTCAGAGCACACAAAAATGGACACAACAATTTGCCGCACAAGTGATGTCCTGAAAAGCAGGAAGCACCCCACAAAGTTCCCAAAACTGTGATTTCCTTGCATGGCCATCGACAGGAATGGTATAGAAATGGCCAGCAGCGATGGCAATTGATTTTGCCCCCTTGACTGCACAACCCTGCATACGTATACTGACAATGTAGATATGGATGCAGATACGCAGAAAGTCATTGAAACAGATATATACTTAATCATACTTTAATATTAATTACATATCTATACAAGTATATATACATATGTAATTGATATATACATATAGTACATATGTAGCTACACTGATATGACCTTCGTTTGACCCATGTCCTACCCCGTGGTACCATCCCCATGCGCCATCAAAATCGTCCCACCTTGGCCACGGGTTTCCGGTAGACGTGGGGCAGCTCCATGCCCGCACTGGTGATGCCACAGGGCGTCTTCCCTGGAAGGAAGCTCTCCCACATGGCCAAGGTGTTGGCCGAGTCCTTAGGGAAACCAGGTGGAAAAAACCCAGGTTTTTGGGTCCCCAAAAATTTCTAGACGATGTGGATATTAGGAAATCATGGAGATCATTGGAGATATGAATAAGACATATTTTATCTCTGATCAAAATGTATGATATATATATATATATTAGATAGATAGATGGGTTTGTCCTGATATCTGCGGCCCCCTGCGCCTAAAATGTCAGACCAATGCAATCAAAAAAAGACGAAAGGATGCAAAATATGCGGGACAAAACACTAAAAAAACACCAACGATCCAACAAGTGTGGTGGAAATGACGGAATGACCATCGACAAAAAGGGCTTCATATGACTGGATAAAAAGGAAACCGGCTATGCCAGCCAGCGAAAAACTCAGATTGACAGTACCTTCCTGGAAGCCATGGGCTGCATGACATCATGGAACGGCCACAAATTTGTGGAAGTGGAATTGGCTGAAGTCTATGTGTGTGTATATATATATATATACATATACGTGTATGTATGTACGTACATATATATACGTACATATAATTATATATATCACACCGAAAAATGCAGAGAGAGAGAGAGAGGGACAGAGAGTATCATAGAGTATCTATCTATACATGTGTGCCATTAAAAACATGGTACCAGTATTTCTGGTTGGTGGTTTTCACCCCTCTGAAAAATATGAGTTCGTCAGTTGGGATGATTATTCCCAATATATGGAAAAATAAAATTCATGTTCCAAACCAACAACCAGTATTTAGGTTATGGTCATCCCACAGTTCTTGGGAATCGGTACGATGGCCGCTGGCCATTATAATTCCTATTATCTGATGGTGGCACGACCATCTCCCGATACTGGAAAATCAAAGGACCATGGCCATGGCACATATACAGGTTATGTGATGATAAGATCCAATTAGTCACTAGTAAGCCCCAAAATTGAACCATGTAAACTTACCATGCTTAAGAGTTAAATCCCAAGTCTTCACCATGTTTCATGGTTAAATCATGTGAAATCATCATTCATCATGGTTGAACCACCATTTTTCATGGTTTAATCCTCATCTTTCACCATTTCTCCTGGTTGCACGGCAAATCCAAGCCGCCCGCGCCAGGCTGAAGAGCTGGTTGCCATCCGGGCTGAAGCACAACGAGGTGATCTGATCCTGTCCAAAATATGGGGAGGTTGCGTATTTTTAAGACAAATGATTTGAAAACATTGCTTACATTTCCAAAATGTGGAATATATATATATGTATATGTATATGTATATATAATTTATATATATATTATATATATATATGGAAAATCCCAAACATGATCGGATTTTCTTCCGGAACTGTTTTTTGCTTTTTTTCATTCGCGTGAAAGGATCATCCTTGCTGCCCTCAAATCATTCCCAGATTAAGAGACGATTCTTCAGGAACATAAGAAAAATATGTATGTGTATATATATATGTATTGCCTATAGATTCTCCAAGTAGTGGATTTCCCATGAGGGAAACTAAAGACTCCTCGCACATCCAGGGTTACCCTCTGGTAATTTAACTGTTTGCTATGGAAAATTGCCCATGTTTAGATTCTTTACCTATTCAAAATGGTGATCTTCCATAGCTATGTTAAATTACCGGGCAGTAACCCTGGGAAATGGTGAAAACATGGGAAGTAACCATCAAAAATGTGGCTACACATGGGATAAAATATGATGTACAACCGTGCAACCAACATCAACCAACCACATCAACCAACCATATGATATGTGGGGTTTGTCCAAAAATTGGCGATGATTACTCCAAAAGTGCACAGAGAACAATGATAGTCAACTCCACCATCAAATTGGAGGATACCCCATGTTCAGACAAACCAATGTAGGGATGAGAGAAGCATAGATAGGCAAAGTGTGCGAGATGTTTTCCTGCAAGATGCACAGTATACAGATGTTGATCCCTTCCCCCTAAGATCAAATATTCCCCATATGGGCACACAAAATGAACAAATCCAAGACTAAACTAGACTAAACAAGGTTTTCCATTGAGAGGTATTTGAGATTAGGGAGGCATCATATAAATTAAGGATTTAACATGATTTAACCCTGAACACACCGGATGAAATGGTGATTTACTCAGGAACAATTGGTGCAATCCCAGTTCAATTGGTGGCTCCTCATGTAGGGGGCAGACCAAGACGGTGAGCAGGATGCAGTCTGCAGGTCGCCAAAGGCAAATGAAAGGACCTGTGCAGAGCGTTAAACGTTGCCAGAATTAGCTTTGGTAAGTGGATGTAAGTGATCAGAAACCAACAAACATCTGGGATGTATTGGGATATGATATACCGCAATTCTGGCACCATCTAAGCATGAAGTGTGTGTGTGTGTGTGAAGCTTCAAATTAAGGTCCTCGTTTTCGAGACAGCAGGGTCATAAATCCACGGATACTTGCATCCAACATCATCTAGTCACAAGTAAGTGGATGCTGGATTTTCCCAAAGGTCAAACTTATTGAACCCCAAACATTGAACCCCAATTAGCCAATAATGTTATGACCGCTCCATGGCTTTGTCCTAAAGGAACATTCCCCATGGAATCAAACAATTTCCGTGAATTGGGGTGAGAAACCGTAGCCCAAGATCCATGTTCCAATCATTGGTGAAATATGCTGGAATCCCCCATGTTCCATGATTTTCGATAAAAAAAACCAAGTTTTCTCCATGTTTCATGGTTTAAATCATGTTTAATCATCATTTTTCATGGTAAAACCACTATTTTCTCTCCATTTTTGATGGATTTTATGCTTTGATCCCAAGGGTTCCATCGGTTTCCAGCTGGAAAACTCCACACCTTGGCCCCCTTTGGGATCGATCTGCCCCGAAGCACAGAGCTTCCAGGCGCTGCAGTAGCTGAGGCATGTGATCCTATGGAACGAAAAGGGGGATTTTGGCTACGGCTACAGCTACTGAAAATGGTGGCGTATTTTATGGGACATGTGTGGGATTAAAAAATATTTATAAGATTTATAACATTTATGTAATCTGAGATATAATTTTGATATGATATATATATATAACTGATGGAAGCTTCATCATTGTAACTTCTCCGGAGAACTGGATGCTGTGGGAGCCAGGTTTACACAGAGGAGCCAAGCCAAATGGGGATTTATTCAGCATGGTTTTTTACCCCGTTACCGTAAGTGGGATGATCCACAGTTGGCTAAGTTGGTTGATAACTACGTTAAGTATGATATATCTATGGTCAATGGCGTTCCAACCACCTTACAACTGGGGAATTCCCTTCCTGTAAGGAGTGTTCAACGTGGCTTTGTTCATCAACCAGAAGTCGTACAAACCTTGGATGATATTGTTTTGCTTCAACTTGGACTACCAGGTTTAGCCATGAACAGTGGGTATGTAAACCTTGGCGTAGGTCTTGGCTTGCAAATGCCACACGGAACCCAGACACGCACCCATGACTTGCTATGGTTTCAAGTACGGCACCTACTGCGGCTGCATCCCCATTTTACATAGCCGCATAGAAGATCAATGGAGTGGTTTAAGGGAAGACTTGACTTACGGAAACCATGGATTTTACCATGAAATATTGGGGGTTCCTGACAAGTTGGAGGACTTTGAATCCCATGAGCCAAAGCCAGCCACGTATAGCCATAACATATACTGACCCAATTGCCCTCCAACAATCAAACGTGGCCTTTTCTGGAAACCCCAGCCACATTTGATCGTCCGACATCCAAGGCTCCTTTGGCTGTGCCCCACGAAGAATCTCTGCCTTGCCTGGACCAAGGAGTAGGGTAAGGCTGTTGTGGTTAGTAAGTGGGTTGTAGCTCCTCAAAAAATACTGGGGTGGATTGGGATATACCCCAGTTACTAACCACTTAGGCAACATAGTAAGAGCAAGAAATTTGGGGGAGTTGGGCAACAACGGTTGGCGATTCAAAGGCAACATCATGTGGAAATTGCCAACAAACAAGACAAGAAATGCAGATATGACCATGACATAGCAAGACTAGCGACTAGCAAAGTGAGATATAAATAATGCATAATAATGCTATGATTGTCAGATTGTCATTGTTTCTCATTTTATGGGTATATTATATACGTGGGTACATAGCCAACCCACCACAAGGGAAGTATATCAGAAACCAATGCAGGGGAAGGGTACTGGACATATGAACAGAAAAACAATGCGTATTAAGACTAATCTAGACTCTAGACCGTCAGACCACACTGCCACAACATGTTACAACCTGCTTGGAAATGAGAAATGCTTAAAAAATGGGAATGATGAGGAATGATAGTGTTTTTTTAATGCTAAGCACGTGGTTAGTTCTATACTACAAAACCCTCCTTCTTCACCTTTCGTGGCAAGTTGCAGGGTGCAGGCATTGAACCACCGCCACGGCTGCCACTGAAAAGACAAACTCTTCGTCCTGGGATATCGGAAAGGACCATCATCCAATTGGACTGAATAAGTTCGAATTGCCCTTGAAAATGGGACTGCCAATTGAACAAACGCATGGCCAAGAAATCCGGAATTGACATCACGAAAAAAAAACTGATCTTCAATCATTCTGAAAAGTGACCTGATAACTAAAGATAATCACTCCAAAAGAAAGAGTTGTCGTTATCTGCTCAAACCCAATTCTTCAAATTTCCATTTGCATGAAATTATCTGAAACTAAATCCTACTGAGACGATACCTGAAGGAAACCCAATCTGATTTACCATATCTCTACATATCTCTACCAACTTTCCGTGTGGGGTTTGTGTAAACCTCAAAAAAAATGGAGTGAATCATTCGGTTTGCCACATCATCCACTACTATCTATCCCAATATTTCCCAGCCATGTTGGGGGCTATTCAGGACCGTAGCCTCTTGCAATCAAACACAGCTTGCTGGAAAATTACCAAATGATTCTACTCTTGAAAAAAGAGACTGTCCATTGTCGTGTTGGACCCAAAAGGATGAGTCCCCATGTGTTTAAAACATGTTAAAACCACCAATTTCGTGTCCCCAGGAAAAATCGCATGGCTAAACGACCCATCCAAAGTTGACCCCGCAGATCCGCCGAATCCCTTGAGATCCCGCTGGGAAATCCCCCAGAAAAATGGGTCCATGGAAAGGCCGCTATAGCTGGGGAAAAAAAAATCCCTCTGGTAGATACTTTATATTATGTGGTATAGATAACTATAGTATGTGTAAAATTCTCGCTGGTATACAAGTATAATCAATTATAGCTACTATTCTACTAATTTATAGTTATGATATCAAATTATAGTATGTGCTACTATATACAATAGATGGATACAATTATACAGAGTTGTACAGTATATGGAGAATTTCCTGAAATAGGGGTACCCTAAGTTATCATCCATTTTTAACAGGATGTTCCATAATTTTTATCATCCAGCTATTGGGGTAGCAGCATGACTATCCCCCCATATGTATTCGAACTATTTCAACTACCCTCTGGTTATTTAACATAGCCATGGTATAGATGGCCCATAGAAATAGATGGAGTTGACCGTTCTTAAAAATGGTGATTTTCCATGGCTATGCTAGTCATAACCAGATGGTATATCTTAGCATGGCGCTCTACCACGTTTTCTTTAGAGCTAGTTTGTCCAAGTTTGGGTAATTATTATCCCTAGGTGTGGTAATTATTGTCCCCAAGTTTGGGGATTTATTGTCCCTAACTTTGGCCTAAGTTTGGTAGTTATTGTCCCCAAGTTTGGGTAATTATTGTCCCTAAGTTTGGCCTAAGTTTGGTAATTTTTGTCCCTAAGTGTGGCCTAAGTTTGGTAATTAGGGACAAAAATTCCCAAAAGTTGGGGACAAAAATTCCCCAAAGAGGCAAAAGTTAGGGACAAAGATTCCCAAAAGTTAGGGACAAACATTCCCCAAAGAGGCAAAAGTTAGGGACAAAAAATCCCAAAAGCTAGGGACAAAAATTCCCCAAAGAGGCAAAAGTTAGGGACAAAAATTCCCCAAAGAGGCAAAAGTTAGGGACAAAAAATCCCCAAAAGCTAGGGACAAAAATGGCAAAACAATGCCTGAAGAGATAGCCCAAAAACATGGTAGAGAGACATAACCAGATGGTATATCCATCTTGGTGAACTTCCAGGCCATGGCTCAGAGATCCAGTGCACAGCTCCAACGGCCTGGCCATTGTAGCCATAGGCCCAGTCCAGCTGTAGCTGGCTGGAGGGAGCCTGGAGATCCTGGAGTCAGGGTGAAAAGAGACCCTCAAATTGTGGAAAAAAAGCTGAATTAACCATAGGAAAATGGTGATTTATCCAACAAAAATGGGATGCTGATGTGATTTTAGCATGATTTTACTGGGATCTCACGTGCCAACATGGGAATGTAACCATTTTTTGATGGGAATTTAACCCTCTGGTACAAATGCAAAAAAGCTATGGAACTCCACGGGTGTCCCTAACAAATGATCTACAACTGGTGGATTTTTCATATCCATGCTACTTTCTGGAGGGTTAAGTGAGCCATGAAAATCCCCTATTCCCTATCCCATACCCTGGACTGACTCTATATATGTAGATCAATAATGATGAATAGAGCAAGATAGATCAAGCACATTCCACCAGGGTGTCTTTTCTGGGCTGCATTTGATATGGGAGGCATTACCAAAATTCATGAGGATACGCATCTAACACAGGCCATTGCATCTTCATTTTGTCCCCGTGGGTATAGTGGTCAAACCATGGTCAACCATGGTCAACCCACAATGGGAACCCTTATTTTTGTGGTATCTACAGTATGAATATTGGATTATCCCATATATATATATATGGAACCAGTGATCCATTGGAAAAGACCAGTGATCCTAATATGGTTTAAATAGAGTCATCTTTTGACCACCACCTCCTCGCTGGGCTCGACATAGTTGGAGGGTGGTAGCAGCACGGTGGGCCGCTGACCCAGCAAGGCACGGGTAGATTTCACGGGTGCCATGGCTGGGCCTAAACGATCATTGGGCTGATGTTTACCATCGAAAATTTGAATTGAACAGTTTGAACAATCAAAATTGTTGGGTGTTGGTCTATCGAAATGTGTACTCAACCATCGAATGTTGGACTTGATCTATCAATTTTTGAATTTGACCAGCAAATGTTGAAGTTGATCCATCAAATTGGGTGTGTCTGAAAACAGGGCATACCAAACCCGCTCAACATGACTAGAAGTCGATTATTGGCAGGACATGAAATGTTCCTCCATCAAAATGGCCGAAAAGTCATGTATAAACCTACCAGGTCCATTTCTGGCCATGTGTTCTACACTCAGTGGGTGCATATCTTTGGCACCCCGATGGCTTTTTTCAAGTTCAGCGGCAAGTTCCATGTCGCATCGGACATGTAAAATCCACGTTGCGGCATGCGATGGCCATGGATTCCCGGATGGCACTGGATCTGCCACTGCACCAGGGGTCCAGTGCGTCTCAAGACAAATCGCTCTGGGTAAATCAGAGGCTAAAAGGGACTTATCGTAATTTTTGAAGCTGTCTTCGAGAATGTTTGATGCCATGGTCATCATTTCTGACTCCTTACGACCTCTTGATGATCTTTGAATATGTTATTTTAACACTTCAATCATTGTCAAACGATTTCTGAATGTTTGGGGTTTTCCTATCTTCCAGTTGTGTGTGTGTGTTTTTGTGCTGTGTTTTCCATCGATGTGTTTGACTCCTTAACATTGTTGAAATGATGATTTTATGTAGGGTACATGTTTGACCGATGTTCTGCATGATAATTGGAACGATCCTTCAATGATATTCCCCTAGTTATGTTTGCTGGCTTATACAATCCATTTATATAAGTCAAACCATATGGATTTCTCTATGAACTTCTATGAACTCATGATTGTTGTCAAAAGTTGTTCGACGCCCATTTTCCCCTGCATGTTCATCCGTGTTTCATCACCAATAAACTTATTCATGGCATTCTTTACCATAGTTATTCCATCACCATAATTACAGAAGGTAAATTTAACATGGAACCCCAAACATGGTGTTTGGGAGATCATTTTACTACTTTAGGAGATCATTTTACTACTGTATATGGCTGTGTTTGCGTTTTCATGGTGGATTTGTTCGGGTGTACTCACTTCATTCTTCTCGGATTTTTGAGAAATTGTCTGTGTTTTCATCACCATAAACTTACTCACTTCATTCTTGAGGAAATTGTGATAGTTACTCCTTTCATTCTTTATCATATCGCTATTTAGTCACCCTAAACCATAGCTATATATATATATATATCATCACCACAAAATTACTATTCATCACCGTAGTTGCAACGTTTATTTCATCACCATTCTTTGGGAAACTGGGGGAACATCAATAAATCCCATAGAATGGTGATGTTTCTTTGATAAACTTGGGAATTGTTGATAGACACCTGGGAATAACTGACTATTTCACTATTTGTTGGCCTAAATGTACTCCCAATTTCTAGTGTTAGTGAGATAGTTAGTAACTTTTATCTCAACTTAAACAGTTAGTTGTAATTTATAGAAACTTTATCTCAACAAATCCTGAGTTTATCCTTACAATGTGAGGCCCCCCAGTTATAAGTTGGTTTATAAGCCCCAGTAACTATAGTTATAAGTACCATAAACATCCATAAACCATAGTTATTGCATTTATAAACCAACTTAGATATCTTGGGGGCCTCACATTGTAGACCCTCTGGTAAACTAACATAACTATAGAAAATCACCATTTTCAATGGGAAAACTCACTATAAATCACCATTTTCAATAGCTATGTTAAATTACCAGAGGGTATCTCTACCTCACCAGGATCATCCCCCGGTCACCGTCACCGAAGGGCCGGCCTCTCCGGCATCATCTCGGCGCCGCCGAAGACGCACTCCGTGGAGCCCACCTGGCGGACGAAGCCCACGTCGCAGGCGAAGTCGGCCTGCCCGGGGCTTCCGGGGCTTCGGGGGTCATCCACGGCTGAGAAAATCCCTGGGAAAATCAGTGATAGGTAAACCATCTATTTCTATGGGCCATAAATGATAATAATCAGTGATGGGAAAACCATCTATAGGTAATCAGTGATAGGAAAATCCCTGGGAAAATAATGGTGGAGTTATGGAAAGATCCACCATTTTTAATAGGTAAAAACCATCTATTTCGATTAGGGCCATCGAAAAACCATGGCTATGTAACTTAAATAACCAGAGGGTAAATAGTATAAAATTTGGTGGGACTCTCCGACTATCCATTGTTGATGGCTAGAATTCTGGGATGTTGTACCTCCAAAAGTTGGGATATGACCCCTACTATGGTGAAATCTGACCCACTAAAAATAGTGGAACTGCACCTACAAGGATGGGACACGGCTAGTGAACTGCTTAGCAACTGGGTGACCTTCTAAGTGGGTATATAATAGTGGGTCATAAGTTATCAATGCATAAATCATGTTTGAATACCAATGGATTGATTTAGGGAGAAATCAGGAGTTGAGTGTGGCTTGGGCTGTGGAGTTAGTTGGTTGGTAAATGGGTGACCATGTCATATGCCCTTCTAACTTGGTAGGTGAAAAGTTGCTGATTCCACCCAAAAGACTGGGATGTGTTGGGATACCAGTTTCTACCAATCACTAGTTCTGGCAACATCCGTAGAAAATGCTGGAAATGATTTTGGAACCATTAACAACTGGTCGGAAAATGGTTGTTCATAAGGAAATTGTTGTTGAAAATTGTTGTGAATAACTTCAGAATGTGTTTGAAACTACTAAACTTGGAGGGGACAAGCAACCGAAATGATCAAGCACAAACAACAGAAACATACAATATGGGCATTGGTTGAAGGATGTTGAAGGGAAAATTTGGCCAGAAACCCATGGTTTCCAAATCCAGTTGGGCTCAAAGCCCCCAAAACCGATGGGAACTTTGGAGTTCAACCAGCCAATTTGTCTGCGATGTGTGGACTATGAGGGTGTCATCCACAATTTTGATGATTTATCATCAGTGTCCTTTTTACAAAATGCCATAAATTGCGCTGGGATGGTGGTGAATGCTCATTTTCAGACAAACCCAAATATCAAATTGATGTTGAAATATCTCTTTAATATCCAATGTAATCACATGTGTTGATGGTGATATCCCAATGTTTCACCAGGCTTGATGGTTAACCTCACCATTTTGGACCGAACCATAGTTATTTATGCTATTTCTAGTTTCATTGGATCGGTTTTAAGGGAAATGTTACAGGAAAGCCCAATCAGAAATGTCCATCTTCCAATCCAATTCCACCAAGGGACCCTTGGTGAGGTCCATCATCCATTGGATGATCCTTTTCCATGACAAACTCAACCGCCCCTATCGATCGTACAAAAGTGTCTGGTTACCCTCTGGTAATTTAACGTAGCTATGGAAAATCACCATTTTTCATGGGAAAATCCACTATAAATGGTCAGTTTCAATAGCTATGTTAAATTACCAGAGGGTAACTCCCTCTTTGGGGCTCCAAAAACCCGAGCCAAGCGGACCTCTGTACAGGCGCAGGTCTTCTTCACGGTGGGACGTTCAAAGGCCTTGGCAAGGCGCGACTGGACGACCTACGGATGCGATGCCCAGGGGTTTTCCCCTGGAAAATGAAGGAAAACCCAAATTCTATGAAAAATCATTCTAGGTACCACACTGGAAATCGGGTTTCTATCTTCTAGGGGGGGTTACTATGTTTACTATGTTTACTATACTACACAAAGATGGAAAAGTTGGTGCTAGCCACAAAGGCAACCCACATGGGCAATGGGTCCAAACAAAAGGCCAAGAAAAACCGTGAAGAATTGCATCTCGGCTAAGCCTCAGTTGTGACAATCATCTTGGTTTGTAAGTGGTCAGTAGAGCTGCTTAGCAAGTTCCCAATTGTTCCTGCCCAAGTTTTTCTGACAGACAATATTGATATTTACGGATTAAACCATTTTTCCTAGGCCAGAAACCCATCGTTGATCGGTGTATCCCCAGGTTCTATTTCTAGTGTCCCAGCTTTTGTAGGTCAAATCGCCAACATTTGTTGAGGCCCAAAGGGCCCTCAAACAATCGCAAAGTTGACGCACATACCTTGCTGAATTCCATGGTTCATCGGGAATATATATATATATATGTATATGTATATGTATGTGTATGTATATATATATATATGTATATAATATATGTATATATATATATATAACTATACAGTAACTATATATAATGTGGGCTAAAACAATACCATAAACGCACCATCCAGTCATCACCATTTTTATAGCTGGTATGTCCCCTCCGGCTCCCCGGCTTCACCATTCCAGCACTGCGAGGTCCGTTTCCGGCGGGTGTAGGTGATCTGCCGACACGGTTGTGATAAACCGAAACCACGGTTGAAATGGTGATTTCTGGTGGGATATACAATCTGTTTATACTAGTTATTATAATAATATACATCTATATATATATCATATTATACTAAATCATGTTTGCTTCTGGTAAGACATGGTGTATGTGATACATGGGTTGATGATTTCAAGGGTGATAGAGCTGGGGAAACTACTCATGATTCTCATACAACTCCCATGATTTCTTGTTGATCTTACTCATCTTACCGTTATTTTCTCGGTCAACCCCTGTTTTGTTGCTTCAAAACCCCACGTAAAGGTCGCTTCAAATCACCCATTGATGAACAAAACCAAACTGCCACTTTGAGGCTGGATCCAATACGAGTTCGATAGATAGAATGAATCCTATCTAATTCTTGATGGTAAAATCTCCCCATGTTTGCCCTCTAGTAAACGTTTACATAGCTGTGGAAAATCACCATTTTACAGCTGGGTAAATCAACGAACTTTCTATGGCCATGTTCAATAGCAAACAGTAACAAATTACCAGAAGGCTAGATCCCATATTTATATATATGTATCTCATATAATCATCATTAAACCATCATTAAATCACCATTAAATTACCAGAGGGTGATCTCATCCCAGCTGCTACTCTTCTGCGTCAATCCCCTGCTGAAAAATATTTTGGTCATCGGGGATCAGCGTCCAAAATATCCCAAGAAAGATTCTGTTCAACCATATTGGGATATTGTCATATCAAAATATATTAGGATATTTGGGGGGATGATGATATGATATATATATATGTATATATTATGCAAAATATCCCAATCTGGTTGAACACAAAAAATACCTCTGGTAGTCCATGGCAATGATGGCAATGGCCATTTCCCCATTTTGTTGGGGGATGTCTCAGCCGGGTTTGATGATACCAGAGGATAATGTCCATTGTAGCAGCAGCCACAAATCACCATTCATCACCATTGTTAACCATTATGAACCCATATTGACATTAACTGTGATTAATCATATCAACCATTCATAAATATTGGTTAACTATCATGAACCCGTGTAAACTATGATCAACTATGTTGCTTTACCATAACTATTATCTATGATTCACCAACTAGTGTTCACTATAGACTATTGCCATGATTCACCACCATTCACTACTATCTACTATCATTACATAGCTACTATGAACTACTATTCACATCTATTCACTATTCTTAGCCATGATATGCCATGACTAACCACCATTGTTGAAACCACCCCGCCTGCTGCCCTAACATGCAGAGACCTTCTCCCCGACCATCCGACGCCGTCCAAGTCTGAGGGACGACGAAACGGTGAAACGTAGTAGGGAAAGGTAGGTGAAAATATGGGGAAATGGATAATTATCAACAATGGTAGGTATCCAGAATAACTATCATGTTTTTTCATCAAGTTGATAGTTATTCTGGATGATCATTCTTCATAGTTTTATTATGTTTTATTGATAATTAAATTATGGATGATAGTGATATGATAGTCATATGATAGTTAATTATTATGGATGGTCATTCTTGATAGTTATGATGGATAATACTTATATATCAATACATATTATGGGTCATTCCGAAACATTCCCTGCTGCAAGGAGGATCCTTTCGGGAGTGAAGCTTCAAACATGTGCCTTTTTGGTCACAAAAAATAGGGAATCAAGTGACTTCAGTGACTTCACCACGAAGAATAGTTGGGTTCATCAATCGTCACTGAGCCATCCCGTTTTTCCTATCCCAGACAAACTGGTTCGATTGTCAGGCATTCTTGTTTCTGGATTCCCGCCCAAAATCAAGCAGGTGGAATTAAACTAACATAAACATATAAACAAACTATGTCATACTCAATGAACCCAGTTGGGTATTTTGAGGACTGAAAGTGAAGCAGTGGCCACTGGAAGGTGCTTCGCCTCATAATCTGAAGACACGGAGTCGGCAAAGCTACTCCCCTTGCAGGCAGGGAACTCTAACCTGAGGCCAGGAGCTGGTCCCAATTGATCTCCAACATTGCCGATTTTGTGATGACTTTGTGGAAAGCAACATCACGATCAACTATGGTATGTGTACATATATATGTATATATACCTGTTGCAAACCTCCTGAAACTGACCACGGGACCTTTCCAAACCTGAAGTTGACGTTAGCAGCGCTTGACATACAATCAGAGAACTCACCATCTGTTGGACGTTTTTGTGGGCACTGTTTTTCCAAACATTATGGAGTTTCTAGGAGGATCATGCCTTAAACCCCATGCCATAAACCTCCAACCGGGGCCGGGCGGCGAATCAAACTTCAGGTAGTACACCACACCACTTCCATCCTGTCAATGATCTCCAAACAAAACGGCAAACCTCCTCTGAAGCTTCATGGAAGATGGCACCGCAAAGCCCTGAAGTGGTTCAACGGGACCTTGATTGAAACCCAGCTGAGATCATTTGAAAAGTCTTTACCCTCCAGTCATTTAACAGTGTGCTATGGAAAATTGCCCATTTAGTTTGATGATTTGCCTGGAGATGTGGAAAACCCATGGTTTTTGTAGGACAATGATCTACAAAGGGTGGGTTTTCCACATCGAAGTGTTAGTTCACCCGTCCTCGCGAGTGCCGAACATCACGAAGGTGGTAGAGGTCAGGTTGGGCTCAGTGATGATGTTATCCACCTGAATGAGCTACGGAATTTGCACACCCCCCAGTGGGGATATTCATGGGATTATATCAAGCATAGTGGAATGTATACATCACATATTATGTAAATATAGATATACTGTGTATATGTACATATATATATATATATATATATAGACGTGTAACTACATACCTGTATATGTACGTGTATATATATAATGGGAATATAACCAAACTGATACGATATTTGGATTTGCCAAAAATAGGGGATACACCCAAAACGTTGCTATTTTACCCAGGAAACTGATAGTCCTTTGATTTGGAAATGAGGGGGTGCCAAATTTGTTCAGACAAACTGTGCTGGTTGACAAACGGAAATCCTGAAAACATAGAAGTTCATTTCAGGCTAGAGATCAAGTGGCAGTGCGCCTCTGACTCTCCCTTGTTGGTTGATGGTTTCGAGATTTCAAAGGATCTGAATATCCGATATCGCAGGGTCCAGCAGGTGTTGATCAAATTTCCTGTACATCATTTTTCACCCACGAATGAGAGCTTCACTTGATGCTTGATACAAAGCGCTTTCAGAAAACAGATGTCACTTTGGCTAGATGGCATCTTGAGTCATCTTGAGTCATCTTGATGTGTGGCGCTTGCTTCAAATTTAGCAGTTGGCGATGTCCACCAGTTAAACACAAACATGGCCTCGAAGGGAGTGTTGGTGACCTTGAAGTCGTACCAAGATTCGCCTTCGTTCCAGGTGAAGATCACCTGAAAAGATCGGAAAATGTCACCACTGGATAGAATGGGAGTCCTCTAAAATCTGTCCCTTCCAAGCTGTGAGTTTTTGTACAGATGATAGTGATGCCAAAATCATTCAAAATCTGTCTATTTTTTTGGATATCTTTCGAATAGAAATACATCATTGAGACAATTCAATCCCCCTGTCCTTGGAGCCCGTCTAGATATTGGAGGTCCAAGAAGACTATGGAAATGTCATGGGGCCCTGTGAGGCCACATTGCCCAAGGCTTCAATGCCCGGGTGTTCAACCAATTTCGACGGCTATTTAAATACGTGTTTAAAGTCAAGTAATTGGTCATCCCATAGACCAGTGGTCTGGTTAGTAATAAAATTCAACCATTGACCTTTATGTGAGTGAAAAATTATGAAAAATTGCCCTGGTCAGTTGGTCAGTTTTTTTGATACTAAAACCTCCCATTTTTATATCTAACCAGGTCATCCCTGGTCATCCCTGGTTTCAATGGCTGTTGTGGCGCCATTTTCCCCATGGAATCCATGGCTTCAAAATGAACTGCACATCTGAAATCCATCGCCATCCACCCGTTACGTCTATTGAAACCCCGGGAAGTCGGGGGGAAGCAACTCACTGGTTCCATCATTTTCTACAAAAAAATCATGGCCAGTTTGGAAAATTAACCCCCTTTCATCACCCTGGGACCGGGGCCATACCAACTCACCAACTAAGTCATATTTTCAGTTCATAAAAACCAGTGAATCCCTTCCCCGAAAAAATTGCATACTGACCAATCGAAAGAGTGGAATGTATGGGATCCATTCAATCTGCTATCAGTGGATTGGTTAAAGCGAAAATCTTCAGGAAACTATCTGTTCCCCATCAAATATGGGGGGTTCAACCACAACTTTTCCTTTCAACCAAATCCAATGATGTTACCATCCTACTACCCTTGGACCCGAAACTTGGCCGGACGGGCGCCTCTCCGGTCTTCTTCAGATCATCGGCCATCACTATGAGTCCACCGTGGTCACCGAACTCGTAGATGAAGGCACCCTTTTTTCACGGGCAGGCCGGCAGGATTTGATCAAAAAACCATGGGGCTATGAATCCAACCCGTGAAAATGGTTTATCCTTGGATATGCATTTTGTTCGGCATTACTACAGTATCAATCAATACACTAAAGCTGGTTATTTTGAAAAGGTTCATCTTTAGCAGAATGTGAAAGATTCTCATTGGAATTAAGGTCCGGGAGACCACAAAAATTGTTAGAAAAGGAAATCATCCAGACTGACTCACCAACTTTTCACCTTCATATATACCTTTACAGTAACTCCCAAAAAGATAGAAAACGTGCATAGCAGTATTTCAATATGATTAACAGTAAATCTTTGTGCGCATTTAGATAAAACCCGATCTTTGTATGAATTTAGCAATTTCAAACATTCCATTCATAAAAATCCCATTGGTATACCATGTTCTGTTGGTTTCATAGTGGTTACCACCATGTTTTTTTTTCGGTCTCCCAAGGCGTTCCGCTCGCCTTGTGGGCTTCGACCCAGGTCAGCCCACCGTCGCGGGAGAAGAAGGTGCTCGTCTCCTCCGGCTCAAACCTGGGCCACAAGGGTGGTCCAAAAAGATAGAAAAGTCAGTTCTCGCGATTTTAGTAGGACTGTACTTTTCTATTTTTTGTTGGTGGTTGCGAGATATATAGATACAGATATAGATATGGACATAGACATAGATATAGAACGATATAGATATGGATAGTCATCCTGGAGTAGACAGAATGTGGAAATTTCAAAAAACCCTTATATACTGAAATGGGAAAGTGTTCAAAATTCCAGATTCTATCTACTTCAGGATGACGGATGAGATTACCCGCCGTGTCATCAAACATGGCTCGCTGGAACATCCCCCAGCAATTAGTTCCTTGATTTTCCCAGCTATAAACCTCCAGTTATGCTGATTTTCCTCGTATTTCCCCATGATCTTGCCATTGAAACCTCCATTTTTCCCAGCCAGCCATGTTTGATGACACCCTTTCGGCCGACTGCTTGCCGCCTCCCTTTTTTCCAACGCCATAACGCGTCACCAGTTGGATGGCCCTTCTCCGCCTGGCGTGTGTTCAAAACCTATCTGAAAATATAATTCACAGTGGATCATCATCCCAAATATGGACATATATATATACACATAGAGAATATCTACAAATATATGTACCTATATACATATAAATATCAATTAATATTATATATATATGTGTGTGTGTGTAGTCAACATGGTAGTTGGTCATAGCAAATGTTTGAAGCCACCAACCAGCTATATGTTGAAATATCTCTTCAATTACCGCAAACAAATGGGATTCCGTGTTCCTTTTTTAACCAGTTCACAACCAACGCCATCTCGGCCAACTAGTTGCGGCAGTGAACCACAGTCAAAAAAAACAAACAGTGTGGTGTGTATACAAAAAAAACTGCTGTGTTCCAAGGTACTCCACCGGCTCGTGGCATCTGCAGTCCATAGACTTCGGGGACGTAGGCGCGGACATTCCCGACGTGGGGGGAGACATCCCGCCCTCGCCGTCAACTCTGGGCCTCGGCTGTCCGGTGGTTTATGTGACCCTGGTGAAACGTCATGTGGCGGCCATCGTCATGTTCCCTTCAGATGATCAAATTTGAGGCATCCGATTTCAAATCAGTTTCAGACAAGCCAATTCAGCAACTTTTTTGTTCATCCTGCTATCGACCTACACCTTGGTCTTTTTTGAAGCGAGCAGCTCGCCCAAGGCAGTTCACCGTTTTCGCCGTCGCGGTTTGCCACTGGCTTTCGGCCTCATTGCCGAGGATGTCTGGTGGAAACTGCAGGATCGCAGCCTGGTTATCCGATAGTGGTACATGGTAAACCCCACCAGCAATTCACTTGCGAGTCGCTGGATGATCCTCCAGGTACCAATAAGGCCTTTCATGACCCCGGAGACATGCAGAATGAAGCCGTGAGTTCTGCTGGCAGAGCCTTGTCGGGCTCACTGCCCTCTGCTACTCCACCCTGGCCGTTGAAAATCTTGTTCTTTATGAGAAAATCATGTTCAAATTGGTATACCCTTTGGCAACCAAACATGGCAATGGAAAATCCACCATGTATAGTCGCTTTCCCAGCTATTTTTACCTCCATTTAGTCCGGGAATTTCTCAGCCATGTAGGGTAAACACGTCTACGACTTCTCTGCATCCAAGCTGCTCCTTCTCTATCCGTGACACACATGTCGACACCGGGGAGGTTGGCATGTCGGCCACAGTGGCGCAGCTCGGAGCTTTCCTGGGGACCATGGTAGTATCGAAAACCGTGGTGACGACTGGGGATCCCCCATGACTTAAGAAATCCCCCATATGCCATGGTCAAACACATGGATAAACATGGTAATATTTGGTATGGTCATCCACCGTGGGAATCCACACTCTTAATGGCCATTATAAATCCCTATGGAAATGGTGCAAACAGCCGAGTGGCTTGGCGGTTTCCAGGCTGAAGTCCGTCAAGGGAAGCACCTGGCACCAGGACATCCTGGGGTCCCCAAAGCTCTCTAAGACTGCCACAAATATGGGGCCAAATACTGGCAGAAATGGTGATTTGTGGATCATTAAAATATTGATCGTTGTCATAGACCTACCTATCAAAACATAGGGACTTGATCTGTGGGGGGTTGTCTCAAAATGGGGGATACAGTGCTTCATACCCCAAGATGGCAGTATATGGCTGTCAAATAAGGGGGCAAATGATGCTACAGGGCTTCAGGGGTAGCAAATTTGAGGGCAAACCTATGGGTGTTGCTGGTGATCTGAATTCTCCAATACTTGGGGTAGGCATTGCCATCTGAGATACATCATTAGAGAAATTTGCGTTGCTTTCTGGTGTAATGCTGGGAGTTCTCATATAATATATCATACATATTACTGTATATATGTATCATGTGTGTGTAATATATTCATACATCTGTATCATGTATACTGTAATCTGATGGAGTTTTGTCTCCAAATCATCCTATCCTTGAGCCAGCTAGTACAGCCATCAATTGCCTAGAATCATCACCCAGTGGGCTTAGAAGAACTGGCCAAACCAAGGGGATCTGAATCAGATCCGAAGCTCCAAAGTTCGAGGGGCTCATCGAAGAAAATATGTTTCCACTAATCCCATCCCCCTAATGTTAAACCCCTCTCAATGGTCTCAATTATGTGTAATTCCCTTACTAAACCATCTTGTGGGGTGCTCAACATTAGGCAAAAGGGCTTAGTTTGATGATCTTTTCTGCCTGCTGGACTTCAACCTGGGCACTTGTCCAAGGCCATTGGTTGAGCACTCCATGGATTTACCCCATTTGGCCCTGTCGAAACCAGTGGACTTTCAGGGGCCCTATTTTTGGGCCCACCCCAGATACGGCAATTGGAACTCCCAATGCCTCCAGTTCAAAAACTGTCTCTCCGAGAGCAAAAATTGATTCGGTCAAAATTATGTTTCGGAATCCTCTATACACTCTATACATGCATCATTAGAAATATATATATATATATCATATACATACATATATATATATTATTATACAACTTGTTGAAGCATCTGGATACAGTTGCAGCTGATTTTTCTAGACGACCCACACTGTGGGTCCCGTTCCATCCGTGGTATAAGAAGCGGGGCCTCGTGAGTTCGCCAGAAGCGCTCGTATCTCAGCTGCTAGTTGATGCTATGAGATGCTATGAGGTTGCGGGGGTTAAGACGATTTAAACCCAATATTACATAATGTTACCCTCTGGTTGTTTAACATAGCCATGGAAAATCCCTTGTAAATGGAGGTTTCAATGGGAAAAACATCTATAAATGGATCATTTTCCATGGCTATGTTAAATAACCAGAGGGTACATAATATTACAAAGATCTGTCATCGAATATCAATGATTATCATTCATGATCAAAGATCTATCATCGGATTGTCATCGAATACCATGTCTTCAGATGGAACAAGCGATCGTTGCGTATCACTTGATCAGAATGATCAAGCCATGGAAATGGAGTGGTTTAGATCCTGAAAATCAAAGAATAATCATGTGAAACCACCCAAGCAGCTACGAATGCATCTATACCGCTGTTGTTTTTTTTTGCGACGCAACGGGCACAGAGAGGGATGAGATGCCTTGTCACGAAGAAGTTACCAGATCTGGATCACCAGGTCTTGACCACGACTGAGCAAATGACAGAGAGCCGAATTTGTTGTGAAACTCAATGACTAGCGCTTTTCCTCGGCTCTGTTCCCTAGTGCAACGGCTTACATCATCTCGGGTACACCATTCTGATTTAAAAAGTGAAAACCCATTTGTTGCAACTCCATGTTGACCCCTATGTTTATCTGTAATTTGACACCTCAAAAACAGGATCACAACTGCGTTTAGCTCAAAAATGGGACCTGTGTTCTTCTGTTTATGTAGTATCTTTCCACACGCCCATGTTTTGGGTCGATTACTTTTGGGTCGTCATAATAGTGCTTTTGTAATGCGTCATTGTTAAATCCCATGTTTGATGTTGAAATCCCAATTTTCCCTAGCTGCACCATCAACAATTTCACAAAAAAAACGAATGGATTCTAGCATTTCTAGCCCTAATGGTAAAATCTAGAGGTCTTAGACATCAATCTTCATCATCCTGAAGCCTTCAGCAACCCAGGCTCTCATCATGTCGTCGCCCTGGAGGAATGCCTTCATCCAGGCATCGGCAAAGGCTGTGGCATGGGCTGCCCACTTCGGCCAGGCGTCGGCTGACCAACCGGCCACATGGGTGAGACTGGCCATGCCTGCAGGGATTCCAGGGATTGGGGTTTCCTGGAGTGGGGAATCCCCAATAGCTGGATGGTTTATAATAGAAAATCCATCTATAAATGGATGATTTGCGGGTGCCCCTATTTTTGGAAACCCTCATATGTTCACTATAAAATACTATAGTCGCTTTTGCGGATGTTCATGCTGCCTTGGGAAAACCGAACGCACGTCTTTCTTTTTCTTTCCTGTTCATGTTAACTTGCACAGGGCGAGACCTTTGCGTTGCAGGTTGCTACGTTGAAAATGGGGTGGGGTGGGATGCGGTGGGGCAACAACGTTCAGGGTAACTTGTCATCAGTGACGGCTCAGATTTTGGCGAAAAGCTGAGAGAAGGGGTGATGCGGTTTTTCGGTTTGAAACCTGGGTTTCGGAACATTGAAGCCCAACATGGGATCCCAATGGTAGAATCATAGGAACAAATAGTCTATATGACAAATGTATTGGAAAACGCCATGAAATTGGGGAAAAAACGGCTGAAACTCACGTTCCATCAACACCCCGCCGTTCATCAAGACCATAATATCTGTGTTTTCAGCTTTTGAACCCATTTCTTTCCTGTCCTATCGAGGGTCATCCTACCCCAATCAGGGATAGCCCCGCAGTTTCCATCATTCGGTCGAGATTCAAAATTCATCCCCAGTGAAAATTGGATCCACGATTTACTACAGACCGTATACCCAAAATCTGTTGGTTTATCATCATGTTTCTTCTTCGCATTCTGAGACAAACCTAGTTTGATGGATGAAATAACAATCCTTACTCATAAAACCCCCATGTTTGATTCAAAAGTTCCCCATGTCGCAAAAAAATCCAAATGTCTATCGCTTTAAGTCTCCACTCTTCATGAAATCCCCAAGCGTTCATCATGTTCATCCTAAAATAATCTAAAATCCCCATGTTAGTTGCTTGAATGATTCCAAAATCCATCCAACTTCCCTCATTTTCCACGGATCAAATGTGCCTTCCTCCAGGCGCTTCGTCACCTTCGGCAGCAGCGCCGCAGACGCCTCGGCGTCGCTCATGGGCTTCACCAAGGCAGACCTGCGAGGTCAGGCAATGGGTTTTCCCCCCCTCCGGTAATCAAACATGACAATGGAGTTGGAGGTTTATAGCTGGAAAAATCCACCATACATGACATTTTAAGGGGAAAATGTAGTATAAATGTAGGTGTTGCTGGCAATGGAAATGGATGTTTTACTGGGATTTGAATGGGGAAATCCACCAAAATGACGGTTTACATGGGTTTTCACACACTATAAATGAAGGTTTATAGCTGGGTTATAAATTCTAGATGTTGAAAATCACTTGCAGTACAACTGAATGATTTTCCATTGCCATGTTTGACTACTTGGGGGACCAAAGATGTTCTGATGTCATGAATGAATCCAATCATGTAAATGTAAGATCGCAAATGATAGCGTTCTTGATGATATGCATTTAGGTGTAATATCTATATATTCGTAAACGATTCCATAAGCAGAGACCGTCCCGGATATAAATATCAGCGTAATGTTAAAGCTGGGGACATGTTTTGCAACATTATGATGATGCTCCTGGAAATATTAATAGTATGGAGGTAATGGTGTTGCATTGCATTTGCATCGGCGTTTGTACTGTTGGTGATTTTTTGGATGTTGCTCTTGGTCAATCGGGTTGTCGTTCTTTTGTCATTTGGGTTGTCACGTTTTTTTTGCTCAGTGCTGCGGGAACACCGTCTGAAAATGTCACAAATCGCAGTTTTCCCATTGTTTTTTCTACTTTTGTCCCTTGTCATTGCTCCTTTTTTTGGGAGCCCCGCGTTTGTGGCACGGCCCGAAAACGTCGGGGTTGGCCTACTGACCAACAAATGTTTCATGGAACTATATAATGTTTATATGGACACATAATCATGTAAATGCCTATGTTATCATAATACATTCCATGTATACCTGCGTACATGAAATGATAGTTGCATATAAAGACAGACAATTGACAAAAAAATGACACATGATGACACATGACCAATACATAATCAACATTTGCTGTCGCTCAGAACCTGCTGGCAAGAAAATCGTACATATACAATGCTATTGTATTCTGCAGTGTCTGCAGCAGTGTGCATGAAAGATTGCGTGGGGCTGTGCCCACTTTGCTGTGCTCCAAACATCTTGAAATATGGCACTCCATACCATCTTGCCTGGCATGTTGGAGTAATTGTTGGCATTGATTTGGAAAATGTGTCTTCGCACGTGTTTGGTCCGTATCCACATACCACCATACATGACCTCCTACTTGGAGGATCATCCCATTTAGTAAATGAAGAATAAGTCTGATTACTACGTCCCCCAACGAGCAAAATAATTGCCCTTCAGCAATTCAATGTGGCCGTGGAAAACCGCCCGTGGATATATATATATATACATATATATATATATATGTTATATAGACATAATTGTCCCACATGTTCACATTGAAAGTTGGGATTTGATATTGCCATGTCAAATTACTCAAAAGTTGATCCACCCACGCCGACCTTAACGTCTCACGAGTGCGGCGAGCGATCACATAGTGGTCGCCTCCGGTTCCATAAATGGATCCCCAATAGCTGGATGGTAATGGAAGATCCTATTAAAATACGGATGATAACTAGGGGTACAGGTGGTGCCAGAATTATAGAACGGAGCCAGGAGTACAAAAGTACGGTAAAATACCGTACCTTTGTACTCCTCCGGGTTCCGATTCCGCGCGGAGTCGGGAAATTTAATTATAGAACGGGGATCCGTTCTATAATTAAATTTCCCCGTTCTATAATTAAATTTCCCCTTTCTATAATTAAATTACTCCTGGCTCCGATCTATAATTTCTGGCACTGACATGATATTTACTGCATATTTGTATATATACAATCATCTATAAAATGAAGATTTAATGAGGATTTAATGAGGATTTGATGAGGAAATGAAGAAAAAATGCAGATAAAATGAAGATTTGATGAGGAAACGAGGATAAAATGAGGATAAAATGAAGATAAAATGAGGATTTGATGAGGAAATGATGATAAAATAAAGATAAAATGAAAATAAAATGAGGATTTAATCAGGATTTAATGAGGATTTGATGAGAAAATGAGGATAAAATGAAGATAAAATGAGGATTTGATGAGGAAATGAAAATAAAACGCGGATAAAATGAGGATAAAGTGAGGATTTAATGGGGATTTGATGAGGAAATGAGGATAAAATGAAGATTTAATGAGAATTTAATAAGGATTTGATAAGGAAATGAAGATAAATTTAATGATGATAAAATGAGGATTTGATGAGATAACGAGGATAAAATGAGGATAACATGAGGATAATGGGAAATGTGGGAAAAATGGGGGAAAACAGAACTATAGAACAACAGCGCTCCGACAAGAATTATAGAACGACGAAAAAAATTAGGAGTAAATTCAGATACGTTTTTTTTTCACACCTTCCGAGGAAAACAGAATTATAGAACAACAGGGTACGGTAAATAACCGTACCTTCGTACTCCTCAACTTCCGTTCTATAATTCTGTTTTCCCCCATTTTTCCCACATTTACCAGGTGATTTTCTTAGATTTCATGGTGATTTTATAAGATTTCATGGTGATTTTATGGGATTTCATGGTAATTTTATGGGATTTCACGGTGATTTTCTTAGATTTCATGGTGATTTTATAGGATTTCTGGGACCCCGGAAGAGGTTCTATAATTCTATAATTGATTTTTCCGTTCTATAGTTAATTTTTCCGTTCGACGGAAAAATTAATTATAGAACGGGGCCCGGGAAACATTAATTATAGAACGAAAATGGGAAATGTGAGAAAAATGGGGGAAAACAGAATTATAGAACAGCAGCGCTCCGACAAGAATTATAGAACGACGAAAAAAGTTAGGAGTAGATTCAGATACGTTTTTTTTTCACACCTTCCGAGGAAAACAAAATTATAGAACAACAGGGTACGGTAAATAACCGTACCTTCGTACTCCTCAACTTCCGTTCTATAATTCTGGCACCACCTGTACCCCCATGACTTAGGAAACCTCCATGTTTTTAAATTCTACAAATTATATAGCAATTGTCCATGGCATAAAAAAAACAAATGGTAAATCCATCCATTTCTGAGGATCAGTAAGTTTGGAACTCGCCTTTTTCGCTTGGAAAAAAATTAAAGGTCCTAGCATTCTGAGACCCATTTGGCCATTTTGGAAGGAAATTTCCTCTGTACATAATTTTTAACATCTGGATTGTTCGTAGATCAAGGGGATCATTGTTGGGAGGGTGAAGTATAGATGTAGCTTTGATCCATACTCAAGTATATACTCCAATTCACAAAGGAATAAATCCAGAAAGTTGGCTATCAGTTTCCCTCGCACTAATACACTTCACACCGATACTGTCAAAAAGTACTCTTTTTGGCTGGAAATGAGAGATTTCTCCATCAAAATAGTTCAGCCACAAACACTGCAACCCGTTTTTTACCTATGATGCGGTAAACCCATGCATAAACCATCCCAATGACACCTTTTGCCACCAGAGTTCTCTAGGGTAAACCAACATAGATGTGGAAAAACCATGGTTTCCCTAGGAAAATCCTCTACAAACGCTGGATTTTCATGGAGTTTCCATATATTTTTCGGGTTTGCCCTAGGGTAACGCACCCATGGCTGAACCAAGTAGCTCTTTACCTTCAAAAGGCCAATGGCCTTGCTGTCACGCTCCAGATACAGTACGGCACCTGACTGCAGGAACAATTACGCATTCTGTCACTTCACCATACTTCAAGATATAGAGTAATGTAAATGGGAGTAGAACTGGGGAATTATCCGAATATATATATATATATACATATCTGTATCATTTAATGTATATTGTACATATACATATATATATATATATATTTATTTATTTATTTATATACGTGTACACATACATCACATCTACATATACTGCGTATGAAATATAAATATATTTATATATATATACTATATAAATATATAAATATAAATATATATATATATAAATATATATAAATATAGAAATATAGAAATATATAAATATATATATAAATATAAATATATATAAATATAAATATATATTATATATATAGTATATATATATTATATATATATAAATATATATAAATATAAATATATATTATATATATAGTATATATATATTATATATATAAATATATATATATAAATATATATATAAATATATATAAATATATATATATAATATATATAAATATATATGTATAAATATATTTATATATATAAATATATCTATATATATATAAATATATATAAATATATACAAATATATAAATATATATAAATATATATGTATAAATATATAAATATATAAATATATATAAATATATATAATTGCATATATGCATATATACAAATATACACATTTACACCTATACATATATGAACATAAATATATATATATAAGCATACACAAACACATGCATGAAATTTTACATATACAAATATACATATATACACATATACACATTTACATATATGAATTTATTTACATATATACATATATATGTACATATATGCATATATATATGCATATATACATATATACATATATACATAAGAACATAAATATACATAAGCAGATATACATATATAAATAAGAACATGAATCTATATATATTTAAGCATATATACATATATACATAAATACATACTCATATAAAAACATATATACATATTTACATACTTGCATTGTTACATATTGTTGCATTTACTTGTTTACACATATACACATATACATATTTCATATTTTCAGAAATACATCTATACATATAGAAACATATAGACATACATATTTTTTGAAATATATATATATATATGTACATATATAGGCAAAAATATTCATATATAAACAAATATACACATATATAAGCACAAAAAATACATATATATATATGTATATTGTTTAAATATATATATATATATACATTTATTGAAATGTACATACATATGTATATACATTTTTACATATATATATATATACACAGATCTATATTTACATATATATATATACATTTATATTTATATACATATATATATATAGCACAACAAAATATGTTGGTTTACATATATATATATATACATATATAATATATATGCATTTAAACATTTTTACGTTTAAATACATATGTATATGTTATGTATACATGCATATACATATGCATATATCTATATTTTTACATTTATATGCATACATATATATGCTTGGCAGAAGCAACGACAAGGATAATAGATACTGTTTTGCTGATGCAGTGCTGCTGACATTGCGCCTGGACGTGCCGCCACGGCATCGAGGCAGGCCTCCAGCTCCATGTCGAAATGATCCGGGTCGTTCGGATCGATTTCGGGAGCGGAGGCTACTGCGGCCGGACCTGACAGGAGCCAAGTCGCCCACGCGTGCGCACACACACACATTTAAAGAGGAAAGAGACGCCTTAGATTTAGGCCTGCCTTGTTGCTGCGGCCCTTCGAAGGTGTAGATGGGCAGCTGCTCGAAGGCGCGCAGCTGGACCTGCACGCAAGAATCTGGCAAAAGGGTTGGACTGGCCGAGATTGAAATAAAACTACTATGCCAAGGGCATCAGGGAAAATCGCCTCCTTGGAAAGGCCGCAGAAGAAGTCGTAAAATTTACGACTGGCCGAGGGACACAGCCCCCTGTCCCTCCTGGCGGGCGGCGCGCGGTCCACATATGACAAGCATGCACTGTTTGCAAGGTATATTGGGCAAGGACATGAAATTAACAGAATGATATCAGAATGTTGTCCCCCCTTAAGCGCCTCAGCAAGGCGGTAAGGACTTTATAGCCGACCCGCTTAAGGACAAAGTCCTTTCCCTCGGCCCTCGCGGGGGGCGAGTCGGCACGGCAGAGGGCTTCCAAGAAGGCCCGGTCGACGGTGATCCTTGGATATAGCAATAACTTGGCTGCTTATTTTATTCATCTTGAAGAGGGTGCCCTGAGGACCGCACGACGCAGCGGGAGCGGTGTTGCCGTTCTGCGCATGGGCCTTCCGGTTGCGTTCCTCGGCCGCAGGAAGAAGAAGAAAACGAAGAAACAACGTGCATATAAGGAGCGGTTTGGAAGATTTTGGCAGTGATTATATTCGGCCCCGGGCCTTGTTGGTCAAGTAATTGGGCTTGTACCGGAACGCAGCCTGAGTGACGAATGCGATGTGGACAAGCACAAAAATGCGCCGGGGCCCGCGCATTGCCATCCGCCGTCCACTCGGCGAGGGACGGCGGTCTGCTCGCCTTATCGCTGAGGCCTGGACAAGCAACGCAACATTGCAAAGGGATGGACGCGCGGCAACACGAGAAACGCAGCACGCGCCTGCGCGTGCGCGGCGGTTCGAAAACCGCCGACACGGCCTCTGAGCTGGGGACAAGGTTGGAGCAGAAAAAGCCCGGAGCGGAAGCGGGCACCACCCCAGCCTTCGCCTTAAAATGGCTTAAGTGCTTTTGCTTGCGATGCAGTACAATCAGAAGAAAACAAGAAACGGAAGTCGGTAGAATTTAAGGCAGGGACCGACGGCGGCTTGGCAGGGCTGGTGGCGCCCTCAAGGCAAAAGAAAGATTTGGCATTCAAAGAAACACAAGGCCAAGTTTCAAGGCTGTCATGATTCATGCGATGGCGATTTGAGGCCGCGACCGCTCCAGCTCCAGGGTCTTTGTGCGAAGGTGCCGCGCGGCGGTGCTTTGCCAAGTTCCAAATATTCCCAAGCCCCGCCTTGGCGCGCTCCTTCGCAACCTTGTTGCGCCAGCGCTTCTCGCACGGTGCTTCTTGCGGTTTACTAGACTATATAATGTGGTAACCAAATGGATGATATATAGACCATCCCGTAGGTAAGTTTATCGCGTTGGGTTTATCACGGTTTATCACATTCGTGGGTACCTGGAGAGATATGACAGCTCATCCTCCCGGTCGCCAAGCGACCAGAAAGTGAAGGGTGACTAGGAAACAACAATTAGATCGCATTCGAATTGAGATACCCATACTATTCATAAAGCACTCCAGTCCTCCCTTCACCCCACCCTAAAGCAAAAATATATATACCCTTAACAGTGATTGAGCAAGACTGAGGGACCTTCATTGCAAACCTGATAATCTCAAAACCATTCAGACTAATTCGGTTCCACCAATTTCTCATAATCAATCAATTTCCTTCTTTCGCAAAGAAAAAAGTTTTGGTAGCAAACTCAAATCATACGTAACCAGTGCAACATCCTAAAAACAAGGTTTTGACCCAAAAGCAACACTTCTGCGCCTCAATAGGGGTCGGTTAAATGCCGGCCCCAGCGGCGCACAGCCGCAAAAGGTGGCCTCCATTCCCGCTCCAAGGCAGACCAGCTCATTAGCTGCTCCGCCTTGGAGCGGTCCACCGCCCCTTCCACGTGCGCCACCGCCTCAACCCTGCTGTGGTCAACGAATTGATCCACAGCAGAGGTCCCCAGCTCCTGTGAAGACAATAAAAACAGGTAGGAACAGTAGGAAGTAGCAGGAAGAAGATAATACGAGGCAAAGAAGGAGGAGGAGGAGAAGTGGTAGTGGTAGTGGTAGTGGTAGTGGTAGTGGTAGTGGTAGTGGTAGTGGTAGTGGTAGTAGGAGCAGTAGCAGTAGCAGTAGGAGTAGGATCAGGAGTAGGAGCAGGAGCAGGAGTAGGAGGAGGAGTAGCAGTAGTAGCAGTAGTAGCAGTAGTAGCAGTAGTAGCAGTAGTAGCAGTAGTAGCAGTAGTAGCAGTAGTAGCAGTAGTAGTAGTAGCAGCAGCAGCAGTAGTAGTAGTAGTAGTAATACCAGAACGAAATTTCCTGTTCATGGATAAATAGTCATGCCTAGATAAAGGGTAAAATGACGCGCAGTCATGCGAAGATAGCGCGCAATACACCAAGGATATCTGAAATTGATGAATGAAACAAACAAGAAGAGGGATATCACACAAATATACAGGGGTTAGCTGGGATATAAGAGGAATATCATCAACATATGAAGTTTTTGTTCATCGGTTTACTCAACCTGTGTTTCCAGAATGCTGGTGGTCATACTTGAACCAGTTGGTAAAGATGTTCTTATCAGGCTATTGTTTCGGGGATCCAATGTAGTCCCTGCATCCCACTCACTTCCGGCCAGCCACTCTGTTCTCACAACAAACAGCGTGTTCGCTTCCCAAATAAGCCCAGACATCCAAAGTTCAAGTTTTTCAGTTCCATTGCAATAGTCTTTGACTTCCAGGGCAAGTCTCCCACTTACAAAAAAAAACATCAAATATCACCAGTGGCTCGGGCCTGCTCCACTTGCTGCACATCAGTCTCTTGCATGACGAGCCAATGCCTTTGCAAACAGCTTCCGCAGCACAGCAGCCTTCAAAGTTGGCAAAAACCGAACCTCTGCTAACACCTCCCTTTGTGCCGAACTCGGAAGGGGCCCAAACTCCTCCTCCTCCGTGTTCAAATACCGAAGCCAAGCCCGCAACTCCGCTAATCGTGAAGTTTCCTACTCAAACACACGAAGGACTTGACTTGACGTCGTGCTGAAGTAACCCACTCCCACCTGGAAATTGGCGCCGTCACTGTCTCGATATTTCAGCGCAGCCACCAAAAATCTTCGCCAAGTGCACGGCAGCATCGGTGCGGCATATAGATCCCAGTGTCCGGCTAGCTCTACTTCTAACAGTGCTCGAAGTTGCCGCCACACACGAAAAAATGTGAAAACACAACCTATTTGACGATGTTTGGTCGCTACAAGAATGATGAAAAAAGCTGTGTCGTCAGATGGTTGCAAGATGCACAAAAGCAACACCACCAATCACACTACCACCATAACAACAACAAGAGCAGCAGCAGCAGCAGTAACAACAACAGGGCAAGCGGGCGACATTCTGGGCAACACCAACAACCCTTGGGGCATCGCCGGTGTGCGAAGCCCTATTTTGAAAAAATGTACATGACATCTATATATACATATATATATATATATCATGTCCTGTATATAAATATATATGTGTGTGTGTCATATTATGTATATATATATATATTTATCATATAATTATATATATCATATCTATATATCATATCTATATATCATATATAGATATCATATATATATATCATATATATATATCATATATATCATATATATATATGATATATCATATGTATATATATATATATTATATCGCTCTGAGTTCCAATGGATGATCATCCTTTTTCCTATTGAAATGGCCAATGGGGGGGTTATACCCTATTTTCGCAAATCCTAAAGCTGATGTCGGGGTGACATAGGGTTCGTTGACCTCAATACCTCGCGATAAAAGTTGGAACTGGGACAACGTCTCCCAAAAAATAAGTAGGAGTGGGCCAAACGGTCTCCCTTGGCTCTTGGTTTGGTGCTCACACGGCAGTGGCTTTGCATTTTTGCAAACCCTGGGGCTTCACCCTGAAAACGAATTTATGCACGGTGATCATTGGCTTCGTACCGGCTATTCAACTATTTCTGAATGCTACTTGCAATTCCAAAAGAACACATAGCTATGCAGCGATGCGTCAAAAACCCTCTTAACCTGGTGAACATTCTACTGCTTGGACGATCACAATTGAAGTCCATGACCATTCCCTTTGGTAGGACGTTCACACTCCACCAATGACACCCAATTACATATACCTAAAGAAACTATCATGGGATGGAAATCACCAATTATTGGTGTTTGACCCAGACCCACGGTTTTTAAGGGCACCAGCTCACTGGCCTGAAATCCTACAAGCTTTGTCTCTGGATCCATAGAATTCCAATCAGATCATGGGGGAAATCCGGCGTTAAGACCCGTGGATATGTTATATTGGGTAACTGCCATTTTGAGATCCTACATGGCCACTTTTTATACCCCAAAACGCTGGAGCGTTGGACCTATTCATTTGGGCTCCCCCATCGAGGAATTCTTAGGGAAATGGTACTGTCCCCAACCTAAAAAGGAAAAGAACAAACAATTTTCAAGGTGGGTGGGACCCCATAAATCCAAATGTTTGCTGGCTTAAAATCCAAATAAAGGCGATAATCGTGCATAAATGATGCTATCTGAAATCCTTGAAAATCTCCATCAGCCCCACTTGTGTTGAATTGAAATGCCAATCAAAACATCTCAAATCCCAATAAATCTCCATAAATCCCTCATAGTCCCTCTAAATCCCATAAGTTCTAATTAAATCCCCATATCAAACTCCATAACTCCCAATCAAACCAACATCACCAACGTAGGACCTGCCTTCGGTGCTGGTATCTTTCCTGATTTCCTCCATGATTTTGGGCAGCTGCTCCATATCGTACGCATCAATCCTGGTCCGCAAGGTTAATAGATTTCCCATTTCTCAAGACAGGGGTGAGCAAACGATTCATCTCAGGATTAAGCGACAAGTTACGAAAAATTTCGGTGTTTCATCGTGATTTCCAACCATTTTTCTACTCTACGGTTTGCGTAAATCTCCCCTAGAACGCGCCCAGTGCGTTCGGGATCCATGCCGCAGGACCTGCGAGCCACACGATTCCTGGTTCTAAAAGTTGCAACCAATAAAAAGACTTCACCATTCTGAGTCCATTTTGGAAAGGGAATGCCATCCCCCTTCCCATGACCTGTGCCATGGCTGCCCTGCCTCACCCTTCGCAGGGTGAAGCGATCGAAGAAGTCGTAGGCCTCCTGCTGTGGCCACGGAAAACCGTTGTCGTTGAGGATCGCCACGTGATCTACCCAAGACTCCTCCTGGGCACCGGGGAACAGACGTCACGGCCAAATTTGGGGAGGACGGGGGGGCTGAAGGAAGAAAAATCAGGGGTTGAGGTGGTTTGACATGATTGAACATGGTTTAATACGGTTCAACATGGTTTAATACAGTTTACAGTAACATGATTGAACATGGTTTAACCCGGCAAACTGCGAAGACGATGGCCCAACCAGAAAGGAACCATTGCAGGAGTAGGAACTCAACTATATAAGCGATTACTGGCATTTTGAAGGACTGCAGGTACAAGCACTTCGACCGAAGTTGAGGAGGGCCACCCCCTTTCCGGATGATTTCTCCTTGTCTTGAAATCAGGACCATTGAAGACGTTGCTTCTCCGTTCGGTCTGAGGGTTCAGTTGAGGGTTCAAAACGATTTACACAAAGAAGCTTGGTATTCCTGAAATAACTTCTACTGATCGGCCACAGTTGGCTCCTTTGGTGCTATTCAGCCAGACCCCATCCAGATGCAAGCGGCAATGGGAAAAATATGTTCGTGTCCCGCATCATTCAGCTCGATCATGATGGTAACACCTCCTCTGGCTGCGGAGTCCGAATCTGATTTGGAGAGAGTGGTGTTAATATCCGACAAGAAGGAAACAAAACTGTAATTTCCGAATGATATGGGATGTCACATAATACCACTCTCATTTCACAATAATATCATATGATATGGTATGATATGGTATGTAGTATATCACATTACATTAATAACATACTGTCACATAATAATGTAGTGTAATGGAATATGATGTTATGGTAATGTTACAAAAACTTCGATGTGATGTGATTCGATGTTTCTTTTGATGCAGCACTTTTTGTTGTGAATGTAGTGGAATAAAATGTAATGTACCCTCTGGTAAACTAACAGTTTACTATGGAAAATCACCATGTTTAATGGGTAAATCAACTATTTCTATGGCAATGTTCAATAGCTATGTTAGTTTACCAGAGGGTAATGCAATGTACTGCAATGCGATAAAATGTCAACAAATTGAATGGAATGTATGCATGTACTACAGATTGTCTTCTCTGATGGGCATTTCTTGACGTCAGGTTACCCATCAACGCCATAGGTTGTAGGTAGGAATTCCCGGCTGAGTGACAATACAAACCCTCTGTTGTGGTGTCGTACTCTTGCCCCTGCAAGACTGGAAGCATGACTTCCCAAATATCCCAACAGAATCAGATGCAAATGGTTCACCACCACACCTTCCTTCTTGAGAGAAAATATGTCTGAAATTCACTGAGAGTGCAGTCTGAGGCATGTCACCCAACGCTGCGCAAAACAAATGAAAGGTGGAAGGAATCTCGTTGTGATCCATCGTTGTTCACTGCTCCTTGCCCTTTTTGATTCTTTGCATCTAATTTTCTATGGGATATTTATGTACATATTAGTGCACACCTACGTAGTGTTGTGTGTGTATGTATATACATACATGTCACATATATATATATACATGCATGTGTAGAGAGAGAGAGAGAGAGGCTTGCTGTTTCGCTCGCCCCATCCCTATCATCATTCTCACTCTTGTATACACAACATGTACAGTATGTTTTATTCTGTGTTCCAATCATTGGTAGTTGCATCCAAATGGAATTGGGATATGGGTCTCATGTTCAATTTTCTATTATATCCCTTCCTTAGCAGTTCAAACACCAATTGTCAAGATCTGATGTCTAGTCCGTTTCTGCACTCCAGTTGAGTTATATCCCGATCTTTTACAATTCTACATCAGCTGTATCATTTTGACTTAATCACTTGCATCTCGCGGTTTCTTTCCGGCCACGTTTGATGTTTTAACAGCCATATCGATGGCAGAATTCTTTATATTCTTATTTATTGTTTCAAAACTCCAATGGTGAGTGTAAAGTCCATGTTCATCATCCCTAAATTCTGGTTTTTTTTGTGCATAATCCATAGTGACTATAGTGCCATTTCAACCCCTTGATGCACTCCACGGCGGTGCTCAGCTCCTTGATGTACGGCCTCCAACAACTCCAAGCGCTGCTTCTCCTCCAAGCTCTTCAAGCGCCTCGAAAGCTGAGCTCTGAAGATGGCAGTCAGATCCAACAAACATAGCTATGGAAAATGGCAATTTAATGGGATTTAATGGTGCTTTGATTTATACTCTGGATGGTTGCGAAATCCTGCCGTTGATGTGGTAAACATCCCATGATTTATAGGGTTTCAACATGTTTCAACCATCCTTTTGGTGGTTTATCGGATTTCGCAACTTCCATCCACAGTAGCTAGATGTTGATCCCATCCCCCGATGATGGACCCATTCTCTGTCACAAAAATCATGGCAAATGCAATGCAAATGCTACGAAGCTATCGCATGTTTTCAAGAAAACAGACCCAATTTTGCTGGTGCCTGTTGCAATTTTACCTGTCTTGGCGACTGTTGGTGAATCGCCGTGGATTTCCAGCCCTATTGGAGAAGACTGGCCCGCACTGGAAAGTCTCAATGGTTCGGACCCTGGAATTCAGCAGCCTGCAAATCCGATTTGTTCAAACGCTTTGTTGGAGGGTTCCCCAATGAAAACCAGCAGCCATCGCAAAGTCCAACAGATAGATCCCCCTATCCCTGCGGAAAAGACCTGTCTACGAAGGCGATGATCTTGGGCGCCACACCAGCAATGACATCCTGGGTCCCGGGGTCTCACGAAAACATTACATACTGTGGATGGTTGCGAAATCCTGCACCACCAAAAGGATGGTTGAAACATGTTGAAACCCTATAAATCATGGGATGTTTACCATCTATCAACTGGTGCAGGATTTCTTAACCATCCACAGTATGATATTTACATGCAGTATACTGTCGGCGGTTTTGAACTAGTGCTGGCTAAACATTGCGACCGCTGCAGCTGATGTTGCACTGCAGCATCTTTTTGATGGGTCGAAACCCTGGCCCAACATCAAAACAGCTGGTAAATAGATGTTCATCCCAAAAATATGGTGTTTATAGCTTTGAACTAGGTGCCAAAGAATTTCGGCCCATCCCCAACTGGTTTCGAACGTCGAACCACCCAGTCTCCAATTCCGGGATGGGGAACAGCTGTGCCACATTGCTGCCCAACCTGCCAGGCTCGCCGCAGACAAGGGAAAAACAATTTCCAAAACGTGTTGTTGCAACAATTTGAAACCTCCAACCTGTATAGTATATTCCCATCCTCACCCCAAAAAATGACTCCAAAATGATGCCAGGTCCATTCAAATGTTGCCTGGGTCGAAAGGGGGCTGCGGGACTTCTCGAAAAGGTGTGTTTCGGCTTGCCGTGGGAACCTGGTGTTGAAATGAAATTCTCAAAAAGATGCCTGGTGATTATATTATATTATATTATATTATATCACATCATATTATATCATATCAAACTATATAATACTATAATATTATATTATAGTATATTATTATATAATTATATAATACTATACTATATTGTATTATATATATATATATAACATTTTGTATTGTATTATATTATAGTATAGTATAGTAGTATAGAATAGAATAGTATGGTATATTGTATTATATTATATTACCATGGTGCTTATGTTATATATAATCTGTGATGACGTTTTTCGTCATCGCACCATGTTTTTCGATATTTTGACCAAGCTCTGGCCGCCTAGCCTCTCAACATGGACCCTGGTTCTGTTCATCTAAAGTTTGGCGATTCTGAGCGTCTATCTGAAAATTGGTGGTTTGGAAACCACCTAATTTCTCAAGGTTTAATGATGCTTAATGCCAGTTTTTGCCACTTTACTCCTACTTAAATGTCCACTTGTTTAATGATCTTATCTTAATCCATTCTGTGTCTACTCCCAGTTTCGGTTTTAAGCATGCAGCATGGGTCCTCATACCGAAATAACCAATTGTGATAGTGAAATCCATTGATGGTTTTAATAATGCTTTGACAAGCCAATTTTGATGGCTTTACCTTCTGTAACATGGATGTGGAAAACCCACCATTTGATGATTTTCCTCAGGAAACCATTGGTTTTCCACATGTTTTTCTATGTTTACCCTTCTTTACGCAGCGCATCCCCAGGCCTCCAGGTGTGTCCCGTGTTCTTGGACCCGGCGAAACCTGCCAGAAACTGATGCGGTTTTCGTGGCATTGCATTACAGTACATACACTACCTTACCTTGCCCTTGCCCTTGCCTTTACCCTTGCCCTTACCCTTACCCTTGCCCTTACCATACCTACCTACATACGTTACATACATACATTAATACATTACATTTATATATGTACATATATATATATATATATGCATATGTATATATACATATATATATATATATATACATATATATATATACATATATATATATACATATATATATATACATATATACATATACATATACATCCCGCCGGACCGGAAACGGTTCCCATAAAACGCACCTTTTTTAAAAAAATTGTGATTTTACCACAGTGCCGTGCTAATTTGATGATTGGAAATCCTGGAAAAACTTGGGGTGCGTTTTTTCGTTTTTCAGCGTCATCGCTGCAACGCATGCGTAGTAAACAGCTGGCAAGCAGCATTCTTGTGAATGCATCTCCATTGCCAAGCTCTCAGAGATCTCAGAGATCTCAGCAGCGTAGCAACATGTATGTAACGTAGTAAACGATCCCAGAGAACTCAGCAGCGTAGCGACATGTAACGTAGTAAACGATCCCAGAGATCTCAGCAGCGTAGCAACATGTAACGTAGTAAACGATACCAGAGACCTCAGCAGCGTAGCAACATGTATGTAACGTAGTAAACGATCCCAGAGATCTCAGCAGCGTAGCGACATGTAACGTAGTAAACGATACCAGAGATCTCAGCAGCGTAGCAACATGTATGTAACGTAATAAACGATCCCAGAGATCTCAGCAGCGTAGCAACATGTATGTAACGTAGTAAACGATACCAGAGATCTCAGCAGCTTAGCAACATGTATGTAACGTAGTAAACGATACCAGAGATCTCAGCAGCGTAGCAACATGTAACGTAGTAAATAATCCCAGAGATCTTAGCAGCGTGGCAATATATCATGTACGAAGTACAAGGAACGTTAACATGCCCCCCCACCCCACCCCACCCCACCCCACAATCGCGATATTCAAAAACGTGCGTTTTACGGGAACGGTTTTCGGTCCACAGGCATATACATATACATATACATATACATATATATACTGTATATATATATATACATATATATATATATACATCAATAAGATAGAATTAGGTAGAATAACATCATCATATGTGTATATATAATATGCAAAAGGTATGTATGATATGATCTACTACAAATGATTATGCGTAGAATATATACATGTTACATATATGTACATATATAATCATATATATGTAGCATGTTTTGCTTCATGTTTCTGCATTGCTAGGTCTGATCCCCTCAGCTGGGCGGTTCCGGCGGCAAGGAACAGTACCAGTCGCCATAGACGCGGCGGAAGGTGTATTTGCCGTTCTCACCGTTGCTCTTGGTGGTCACTAAGAACCTCTGGGAGTCTTCCATGGTGTACCTATGGGCGAATGAACCGAGAGGATGATGATGTTTCTTGATGTTCACTGTCTGACGATTTTTGCATTTGTGTATGTTTATTATATTATATTATATTATATATTATATTATATATTATATTATATTATAATATAATATTATATTATATTATATTGTATTGTCTTATATTATATATTATATTATATTATATTATATATATTATATTATATTATATTATATTGCATTGTATCATATCATATCAAATCATATTACATCATATTATATTGTATTATATTATATTATACTATGTTATATTACAGTATATCATATTATATTACATTATATTATATTATGTTATATGTTATATTATATGTGTATATGTATGTGTATATGTATATGTTTATGTATATGTATATGTATATGTATATGTATATGTATGTACGTATTCTTATATGTTGTACATATATATGTACCTATATATATATATACACCGTATATATATATATATTATCTGGGTAAATTATAATATTTCACTAACCTGAATTAAGGCCATTTGGGGATGATTCCCCTTACTAACCATGATTCCAGTGAGGTCGCAGTGAGGTCGCTATAATTTACCCAGATATTATATATATGTTATTGTTCTTGTTTAAACAATAAGAATAACTAATAAGCATTATTATGATTGTTATCAGTGCATTGCCATTAATGTTCGTAAAACAAGAATGAACCACCCATATTTTGATGGTTTATTACCAACCATTTATGGCAAAAGATGCAAAAAGCTTCTGTGCTTCATCCCAAACCTCCTTCTCAGCCTCGCTTGGGATCATTCGAACTGCACGTTCACACGCCCCCCCCCCCCGCAGTGCGAAACTTGTTGATATCATATATCCAAAAGAAAAGTGACTTAACAGCCATCAACGAACTGAAACTCATCTAATATTCATACATATTCCATCATATCCCAGAAGATATTTTCATATAAACATGATCACAAATATACTCATATCCCATATGGAGGTTTCCTAAAATGGGGGTACCCATTTATCGCTGGATGGTGAATGAAAAATCCATCTATTACATATCTTTTATAAATGAGTATAGTATTATTATAAATGGATGATTTGGGGCTACCCCTATGACTTGTTGGAAACCACCATGGACCATATCTATAGCCATTCCCAGACCAGCTCCACGGCTCCGCCAAGGTGCCCGTGGAAGAGAAACGCCGCGGCATCCTCTGTGGCCTTGGAATCTTCGTCCTCGTCCGCAGCGGTGAGGCCTGGTCGTCCAACCCCCAAGTTGTTTAAAAAAAAAAGTGAACTCCTGAGAAATGTCTGTGCGTGTGACTTTTTATGATTTTTCCATTCTTTTCGAATCTTCTTGGGGTGACATGGGCTTACTAGACAGGTATTGATGGTTGAAAATAAACGATAACATAGATTACTACTAAAAAAGTCTGAAAGCAGAGTTATTATAGATTATTGTTCCAACTACGGTTAAGATATTGAAGAAAAAAGCAAGTTGAAACCACCAATCAGTAAAATGGGCCCTCCACTGTGAGATGTCGTTTCTTACAGATTTGCATTACTTGAGCCTTCAAAAACATGGGCCTTACACCGGCTGATAGTCTTTTGAATGACCAGCTCGACCGAAAACTTCTCTTAAATCTCACATCATTCATGGCACCTGTGAACTTCAAGAAGCCTCTCAGAACCACGTTCACCGGAGACTCCCCCACTTTTGTGAAGCAGAAGTTCGTGAAGCCACGTGGAAGCATCTTGCGAAGGAGAGCAGAGGTCAAGTACACACCATCGTCGAAGCCCTTGCCCTTCCTGAGGATCCCATTCTGTCTCCCATAGGAAAATGCCATGGAAAACCCACGAAATAAGGATTCAACTGATTCAAACCATCAACATGAGGATTTTACATGAATTTACCAAGTTTGATGTGTCCAAAATTAGCAGAGTACCCTAAAATCCAGTTGTTTGTCACGTTTTCCCATTAACAATTGCCAAAAAAGGGTGCTACAGCCCCTTTTGTCTTTTCTGGGCGAACCCACATCACCCAAAAATGGAAGACATCAGGAGATAAAGCGGCAACCAATTGAAACAATTCTCGAACTCCATACACGTCAAGATCATCCAAATGTACATATCTGAAGTGAATTGAACCAATGTACACTGAGAGGTTGCCAAAATTAGCTGGGTGGTTGCTCAGTGGATTATAACCCCTCAAAACACTGGGATCTATTGAGATTTACCGATATTACCCCACTTACCTACCACGAATCGCTAATTCTGACAACTTCAAAGTGGGATTGAACTGTACTTAAGAAAAAAGGCATGTCCAATGAAAGAGCAGAACCTCTAGTTTCAGCCATATATTTGGATTTGGATAGTGCTTAAAATAAAAACATCTGACATATCACCTGTTGGCTGATTATTATATGGATCCCCATACTATCCGTTATTACTTGTGGATTCTCACAATCCATCTGGATCGTTTCGCATCAAACCGTGCAGCTGGGTGGCTCTTCAAAGGGTCGGCCTTCCTGGGTTCAAATCAAAAGTCACATTTAAACCACATTAAACCGTACATGTACATTTTTAGGGATGTTGATACTCTTGATCCTACAAAGGTGTGTTTTTTAATTGAGTTCTGTTTGAACGGAATCTTCTTATCAGTTGTGGATGCCCAACGAGATGCATTATATGGGGATATATGGGGGATATCCGGGATAACCCAAAGGGTTTCATCCATCGCATGGTGGAAAACCCACTCGGCACATGTTACTTGTCTGATATCTTGCCTCCACCTGGTGACAAGCAAACTGATCGAAGGGCAAGAGATTACCAACCTGGTTGAATCCAACAGCAAAGCTGGTTTCACATGTTCTTCCAACTTATCAAAAGCAACTGGATTTATACCCCAAAATGGCCATGAAACAATGGGGAAACAGGGGGAAACATGATGATCAACTGATCAACCATGATGATACCGCCCCAAGTTGTAACCGGGCCCCACATCCACCGGTCACACCCACAACTCTCCAGGGACCACACGGAAGTCTTCAGCCACTTCCGGAATTGAACGACCATGAGCCGGAAGTTTTCCACCTCAAATGGGTGATTTGACCCAAGCTTAACACGCGCTTGAAAGTGAATTCAAGGTGCTAAACCATCACATGTTCATCAAGGTTCTTACGAAACAGCATATTTTGGAAGTCAAGGATATTGAGCCATTCCCAACTGTTCTTTTTACGATTCGGATCGAGCGTTCCCAACAACAAAATAATTAAAGCTGCCAGCCACGCACAAACGGGTCAGTGCTTCTGGATGCAAAGTTTCAAACAGCAACCCCTTCGAACTACCTCCGGTAAATGAACATCGATATGCCAAAAAAAACACCATTTCTAGATGTTCCTTGAAAAAACAATGCATCTATGTCAGCAGATCTCATGGATTCCGTGCTTCCTGTCCCTCACGGGGCAGGCGGCACCTGAACGGACACGTCAGGCGCCAAAGCTTCTGGTGAGACCTGGATGGCACCCTCAACCAGGAAAAGGATTACTTAACCATTCATGTTTGGGTTGTGGGAAAAGCAACCATGAACCACCCATGACTGGGAATGGTTTATAAAGTTTAGATATACCATGGGTTGATGTTTTTTTATTTCGAGCCACAGCCACTTCCACAAAAGTGGACCAATGACATAATGACTTTGTGGGGAACTTGGGCTCTGCTTGCAGGGTTCTTGACATGTCCGATTCAGTTTTACCTTTTTGTGTGTTTTTGTTGCTCCAATAACCCACCGCCGAAGTAGCAAAAAATGATGCTGTGATACTAACGCTGTGGTTGGGACACTCAATTCTTGGCTCCTGGGCTCCCCATGGCTAATGGGGAATGTACAACCGTAACTCCTTGGCTCCCCCCCTAACCACTGGATAGGATGATTTAATCTGACTAAAAGCAACAAAAAAATGACAAACAGTTGGAAACCTGTAAATTATGAAGAAAACATCGTCAAAATACCGTCCTGGAAATACATGGAAATACGTTCTCTCATTTTTGGGGGGTACTGTATCCCTAATAAAAAAAAGGACCATCCGCCCCTGGCCACCCCAAAGCCTCCTTTACCTTTCGATCCACAAAGGGATGCGCGCGGAGCAGTTCCAACTGGGCAGCCTGACAGCACGACGACGGGATCCAAGGGGCATACCTTGGTGGTCCCCGTTTTAAAACGGCAATGAATGGGTAAGAGTTGGATTCAACCGTTGAAAAAATTGGAATGTTTAAATCTCTGGAACATTCTATCTATCATATCGGGTTCCCCCCAGAAAAATGAATTTACATGAATTCACCCTCCCTCTTATTGCTGTCAAATAATGAGGCAAATTCTGACAAACCATTGGATTCTTGGATGCCCTATGGTACTGTCCCTCCTTTCTAGATTCCATATGGTCATATCATGTCATATCTCCACCCTGGTTTCCCCCAGCCTTGATTTAAAGCCCCATGTTCTGGCGGTCCATGGTTTTCCGAAATTCCCCAATCAATGCCACACTGCACCTGCTTGGCAGCACCCTCGCCCGTGTCGAAAGCTTCCAGCAGCGGCGCGAGGCTTTCCTCTTCACGAGTCAAATGAATTGATCCGATTCTACGGACAAGTAACCCAGGATTTTGATTGGGTGGACTTAATGATTTCAATATTGAGGGAAGAGATGTATTATGTCTATAAATTCCAATCATAACTGGAGACTGCGTAGGCAGGTCATGTTTTCTTCTTTGCCAGCAGTCGTTTGAATTGACCGTGGGACGGCACACTTGGTTGGAAGCCATATCCAGATCTTGCCAACCGTGCTCCTCGCAGGGAAGAAGAGGAATGCCACAGACCTCCACAGTCTGTGGAGGCATCAGCTCTGGTAGTGGACATGGCAGGGATGCTCCCCCATTTGTAGATGATGTGGTTTTGTCTGAAACTTGGGTACCCCATCAAAAATTGCCATTTCAAGGTATCTATCTTCCATGTTCAGTCGAACCCATGTTCTCCTTTGGGACTGGCAATTCCTTTCGGGTGAGCTTGGATCTGCATGCACTATAGTCAATGGATCTACCTTCACCACCAATCAAGGTACCAACCGCAACGCAGAACGTATTGATGTTTATAGAAGCCTCTCAGATGATGCAAAAAACTGTATCTGCGCAATGGTTGTGGATTCTGGTATGGTCATGCCATAGTGGAAATCCTTATAGTGGATATATTATATTAAGCGTTATTGAGTCGTTAATGGCGGGACAAACCATCCCCCATGGGAAAAATGGTCCCTGCCTTCTTCAGCCATGACCGGGAGCGCACCAGCCGCGGCGCGGCTGGCGCTTTGGCCGCAGGGGGTGCTTTGGCCACGTCTGGCGGGGCGACATGGCGACCGAGCGGATAGGAACCAGGGTTAGCCATGGTTAGCCAGTCCTTCAACTAGCCCAGAGTTGGATGTGCATCCCTCTTAGTGGTGAATAAGATTTCATAAGCATGGTTAAAGGCCAGCCATATGGGACAAAACAAAAATATTTCCTGAATTTGCTGGGTTACTATCATTTACTATCCAGCTACCAACTGTGATACACAGGTAAGGCACTAAAAACATGGAGATCAACCACCTAATTGCAATGGTCAGCGCAGTAGATGCTATGGACAATTTTCCTTGGGTCGTTTGAACGCCCTACCCCACTGGTGCTGGATATGCACCCATCAGAACTCTGAATTGTTCAAAGCTTCTCAAATAGCACTTGGTGCTTGTGTCATCGAGACGGTTCAGGTCCAAACTACGTATACTTTTAACCAAGAATGTTGCGAATCTGCACCCTTGAATTCCCCTCACTAAAGAATCGCGAATGCAGCAAGCATTGGACTAAACCAAGCCTTCAGTCACAGGCTTGCACTCCGTCTCCCAGTAATATTGAATTTCCTGGCGCACAAAGTTCAAGCTGAACAACACTCAAATAGCATTCCCAAGCGAAAAGACACTGTGGGGCGACAAAGAAGGAGAAGCTAAATTCAAGCTAATAAAGTCAAGCAGTCCCTGCGACTATTTCTGCAGCAGATGTCTTACAGTGACTGTAAAGCATTGCTTGATGCATCACCAAGAGCCACAATCTAGATCAAGAATCCATCAACAGTACAGAAGCCGACTGTCTTTACACCAGTGATTCTACCATACCTGGCGGCCATGGCTCAAAAATTGCCGTTTCAAGGCATACGTGGCGTTTGAGACGTTGAATGGGGCCTGGCCTTCTTCTTGTACTTGCCCTTGTACTTCTCTTCCAGCTCAGCCAAGGAGTGGGCACATCCATCCACAGGGTCCGTCTTTTTCTTCACCATCGTGGACAGGGGCGGCTCGCATGCCGGGCTTCGGATGCATCGACCGCAGTTGGCAAAAGCTTCTAGGGCCAAGATCTGTGTTTCACGTTACAACAATATGGAAGTCCAGACATCCAGGAAACAGTGATTACAACCTCTAAAAATCTCTAAAATATACAAGATGGATCAATATGGAACTCATTTTGTGTCCTGGTCCGACAGGAACGTCCCTTACCATCTGGGATGTTCATATGAGTTGTTCAGGAAATATTTCTGCTCTGAAATGTCAGCCTTGAACATGCGATCTATCGCCAGCATCTGAAGCCAAAGTGAATTCCGTTGCCGGAAGGAATGTCCGTTGAATTTTTCTCAGAACATGAAGATGGCCACCGTTGGGTACCCAAAAAAACAGTTGCTTGATGGGATACACACTGGTTTTGGCCGAACAGAAGAGACCATCAAATTGTGGTTTTTCGGTGTCCCTATCCTCCCAAAAAACTCTGAACAACAGCCTGAAATCAAGATGAATTCTCTGGTTTCACCCAGTACGGTCTTTCCCAGCCTTAATTTGAGATACTTCAGTATCTTTAGATGTATCTTTGGGAAACCTCCACTCAACTTGAATGTCTAGAGAATCCGTTTCACCTGTGGGATTTACAACCAAATAACATCAAATAAACCCAAGATTTCTTGGGTGCAACCTGCTAAGTCCCAGCCTCAGGGATGCTCCCACGTTTCCAGTGCCCATGATGATCCTTGGATTCCGGAGACGGAGACATCAATCATACATTCGACCTGGAAACAAAATGAACAATGATGGTGGTTAACAATGTTTAATCATGGCTAACAATGGTTAGTTTATTCATGGCTAACAATGGTTAATAGTGGTTGATAATGGTTAGATTAATCATTATTACCCTCTGGTTTTTGAACGTAGCGAACTGAAAAGTTACATTTTTTTACAGGTAAATCATCATAAATCATCTATAAACGGGCCATGTTCCATAGCTATGTTAAAAACCAGAAGCTAATAATGGTTCATAATGGTTCATAATTGTTATAGTTAATAATGCTTACCCTCAATATGTGATAAATAATGAAGCATTCAATGGACTATTACACCATAACCATATCTAATGGATTAGTAAGGATGATTATAGTATATCATGGCATACAATAGTATATGTACCATCTGGTTATCAAACATAACTTGCTGGAAAACCCATCGTTTACAGATGTTTAATCGGGCATTTTCCAGTTTGCCATGTTTGATTGCCGGAGGGATGATCAATAGTGAAATATGTCAATGTGATACTGGTCATGTGATACTGGTGGAATATATAACCGTATGTACCATTCAATCATACCTAAACCTCCCATTGGAGAAAGAAGAGGTACTACACAAACATGTGTATCATTTTTTCTGCCCGATTTCAAAACATGTGCCCGTTTAGGGGTCTGAAAAAAAAGGTGTCCGGAGTTCCGTGGCTCCCCATAGTAATCAACCTGATTCTTTCTCCATAGGCTCGATAGGACACTTTTGTCACGCGCTAATGCATGTGCAGCATGCCAGATACGACCTCGAACAGCCACGCCTGACAACATGGGTTGCATCGCAGCACATGTGTAAACAACCGAGCTTTGGACAGGGTAAATCTAAAGTACTGTATCCACCTCAACATCACGTATGTTTTTCATAGGCCAAGATACCTCTAGCAAACAACCTTCAGCTATAGCGCAATTTTCACAACACCACATCAACTGTCCGGCAATATGTTTTTCACACGAAGAATCCTCATGCAGGGCGTTCAACATTCAACACAAAAACACCACAGTCACAACAAGCAAATACATAACATACATAACATGAACACTACACGCGACAAAATCCAGAAACATGCGCACCGGGAGTCCAAGTAAAACGGGAATGAAGCCAATGCATGAACTAAAAGGTGCGATGGAAGAACTGGCTAGGCTCAGACTGAAACAATATGCCCCCCACAAGCTCAAGACCACATGGCGGCGCCTTCTCTTCGGACCATGCCTTCTGTTCGGACTATGCGCATAAAGGGTCTTCAAAACACGCGACACGTCATGACCGTCAAAACAAGAGGGTCAAGTGGTACACTTTTTTTTCGCGCCCGTTTCCCGCTTTTTTGCGCCCGTTTCGCACGTTTTGGCGCCCGTTTCTCGCAAGACCCTTGGATAATATCAGGCGCAAAATGTCAGCATCATGCATGCCAAAGCCGATCTAATGCAAGGCGCCATTTTTCATCAAGCAAACGTCAACCTGACCGTGTTTCCCAGAGTTCACGGTCAAACTTTGTCATGCACAGCCATGCCACAGGCCGGCTAATTTTGCCACGAGGTGTTTCCACAGATAGTCCCATGCATCAAGCACTTGTGCGCTGTGCCATGAGTTACCCATGGGCAGGGCTTCAAACATTTCACGGCGAGCGGAAAAAATCCGATTTTTATCCTGGAGGAGGAATCAGATGCAACCATCTGAAAGATAAGTCATGCATCCAGTCATGCATGGAAACAAGAACATCTTCAATATCGTGTGCAGCAGCCTTGCTCTTTGATTGAGGTAAATCATGGTACAGCTATATATGGGGGTATGGGGATATTTGCCACAGATTAATAGCTGCATGTCGGTCACATCATCTGTGCCCATGTCATCTTTCAACAAACACATTGTGAAACTATAGGCCAACTAGGCTTCAAACCCAGCCACATGCTTGCCAACGGGGCTGATTTGGACGTATATGTTTGAGCACAAGTTGGGAAAGGACTGGCAAAACTGAAAACGGCACAAAACGTAGCCATTATTAGCCACTTGAAAAATATGTCCACATATTTACCTTTTAAAAAATTGTGCTCGAAAATGAGGTTGTTTTCAGAATCTGCCCGTTTACCAAAAAAGTGTACCAAACACCCTAAAAGTACACATTTATCTGTACCACTGGGCGGCGCAGCTATATAATATATATATATATACACACCAGTAGTGCCGCACAAGGCGGTGGCGGAAGTTTCAAAAATTGAAAGCCTATAGGGGAGATTGGTTGTTGTGAATCACGGCTGGCAGAGCGAATCCACTGATGGACCGAAAGGTGGTTGGAGTTGTGTTTTTTGGAGTGGTTGCACTGGTTGCAGTGGTCACCCCACCCACAACTGCTGGATGTAGTGTGGTGTAGCGCAGTTGTAGTTGTAGCTGTAGTGGAGTTGTACTTGTAGTGCAGTGTAATTAGTGTAGTCGTAGTTGCGGTTTGTAGTTGTAAAGTAGTGTTGTGTAGTGAAGTGAAGTGTAGCGTAGTGAAGTGAAGTGTAGCGTAGTGTAGTGTAGTGTAGGGTAGTGTAGTGTAGTGTGCTGTAGTGTGGTGTAGTGCAATGTAGTGTCGTGTTGTGTTGTGTACTCTAGTGTAGTAAAGTGAAGTAGTGTAGTCTAGTGTAGTGTGTGTGTGTGTGAAGTAGTGTAGTTGTAGTTGTAGTGTAGCGTCGTGTGGTTGTGGTTGTAGTGAAGTGTAGTTAGTGTAGTTAGTGTAGTTAGTGTAGTTAGTGTAGTTAGTGTAGTGTAGTGTTGTGTAGTGTTGTGTAGTGTTGTGTAGTGTTGTGTTGTGTTGTGTAGTGTTGTGTTGCGTAGTGTATGTATGTATGTATGTATGTATGTATGTATGTCTGTCTGTCTGTCTGTATGTATGTATGTATGTACGTAGGTATGTATGTACGTAGGTATGTATGTACGTAGGTATGTATGTATGTATGTATGTATGTATGTATGTATGTATGTATGTATGTATGTATGTATGTATGTATGTATGTATGTATGTGTATAATATATATATATATACATATGCATGCGCACGTATTGCGCGGCCTTTTGGTATTGCAAGTATTGGTCACAATACCCTTTCCCATAATCTGCTAAAGCTTGACTCACAGGTTTCGGCTTTTTGGCTACGAAATGTTGATGCGGCAATCTTGGGCCCAGACCCCACGCAGTTCTCGCCTCACTTTCAAGGAGTCGTGGCATCAACTGTCACTGCGAATGTCTATCACTCCAATGGCGAATGCTTGTGTATCTGTGGCACACTTGGTTCGAAAACTGCAATAAGGTTTCCAATGTTTTTTCCCCACCTGCCAGGTGAGGGTTGTTAGATTTTATGTCAGTTGCCTCCTCGTCCTCCTCCTCCTTCTCCTCCTCCTCCTTCTCCTCCTCGTCCTCCGCCTCCTCCTGCCTCGTCCTCCTCTCGTTGTCCTCCTCCTCTCGTTGTCCTCCTCGTCCTCCTGCTCAACTGCGACTCGCGATCCACAGTGTTCTCTGTCGGACCTCAACCACGACCATCCACGCCCAGTGTTCCCTGCCGGACCTCAACCACGACCATCCACGCCCAGTGTTCCCTGCCGGACCTCAACCACGACCATCCCCGCCCAGTGTTCCCTGCCGGACCTCAACCACGACCATCCACGCCCAGTGTTCCCTGCCGGACCTCAACCGCGAGTATCCCCGCCCAGTGTTCCCTGCCGGACCTCAACCACGACCATCCACGCCCAGTGTTCCCTGCCGGACCTCAACCGCGAGTATCCACGCCAAAAGATATGCCACATAGAGTGCCAGAAGATATGCCAGATAGAATGTTAGAAGATATGCCAGATAGAATGCCAGAAGGTATGCCAGATAGAATGCCAGATAGAATGTCAGCTAGAATGCCAGAAGATATGCCAGATAAAGTGCCAGAATGTTTGCCAGATAGAATGCCAGCAGATTTGCCAGATAATATGCCAGAAGATATGCTAGATAGAATGCCAGATGGAATGCCAGAAGATTTGCCAGATAATATGCCAGAAGATATGCCAGATAGAATGCCAGATGGAATGCCAGAAGATATGCCAGAACATATGCCAGAAGATATGCCAGAAGATATGCCAGAACATCTGCCAGAAGATATGCCAGAACATCTGCCAGAAGATATGCCAGGTAGAATGCCAGAAGATATGCCAGATAGAATGCCAGATCGAATGCCAGAAAATATGTCAGATAGAATGCCAGAAGATTTGCCAGTAACAAAATGTATAAATGTCATGGTGGGGATCACACGAAGTAAAGTAATTCTGAGTGGATTGCAAAGGCTTGGTACCTGGGTTACAAAGTTTTGACCCCAACTGGAATTGAAAGATAACTTTTTGTAGGGTAACCCAAGTTTTGATGGTTTATCCTCATCTTCCTCATTTTCAATAGCAGATTTTTGGTGGGCAAGCCCCTCATTTGCAGACACTTCTACTAGTATAGAGCCGTATTTGATCATATTTCTACCTTAGCTCCAAGAATCTTCCCCACGTCCCCTCCAGTGTTCTCAAACGTGGCTGGAAATCTCCCCAAATTTACTTCGATGATTTTCCCAGCTATAAACCTTTTTTTTTTCTAGAAGATGTCCATAGATTTCATCCCAGCAACGGACGTCTCCCAGGCCCCAGCAGAACCCCAGGCCCCCCAGCTTGAATAGAAGGGGGCATAGAGATCCCAGGAGCTGCTGCCATGCAGATGCAGAGCACAGTCCTGCGATGGGATGGTTGTTGTGTCGTATGGACATTCATAAAAAATCTATGGATTAAAAGAATAATCAAACTAACCCCAACCCATCATAACCCATCTATATATCTATATATATGAAATTCTATGAACTGTTTTGTAGAAATCGATGGAGAAAAATGTTAGCCATCAAACTATCCGAACAAGGTTGATTCGGTATGAGATATCCATGGCGAATGTTTGGCTGCCATGTTTGTTGAAAGGATTCCAAAGTCGCATAGTCGCATCTAAGAGGTGCCTCTCAATCACAAGCTGCAAAGCTGCATGCAGGCACCCTATCAAAACCCCGAAATGTTGTCCCTTTCTCCCCGAGTTGGTACCCTCTGGTAAACTAACATATCATAGCTATTGAAAATCACCATTTGAAAAGCGTGATTTTCCATAGTAAACTGTTAGTTTACCAGGGGGCAAAGGGGGCAATACATCAAGGGTTTTTGCAGCTGCTCATGTTGACTCCTGCAAAGGCTTTCCTGCGCAGAAGTACGGCTGGCCCTGGCCTGGGCAATCGAAAACATCAGCAGAAAAGAATCAACAACCCAAAAGGATCCAAAGGGTGTGTGTATGTGTGTCTTGAAATGGGGAAATACCCATCAAATTGCAATTTTACAGGGAAAAATGATGATGAACCATGGGATTTAGACGTTTTCACATTAATTGTCAGACAAGACCACAGAGTTTGAAGCCGCAGTAGCACCTGGAATTGGTTTTCAAATGCTCGGACCCGAAAAGGACATACCGGGAACTTGGTTCCCAACCTGGTCTGACATTTTAACCCCTGCCCATTTCGTGTGTATTTATAGATATATGTACGTGACCCAAACGACACGTATTTTGGATAGTTAACCCGCCATTCCATTCGATTGTATGGATCAAAATCAATCGAAATCAATCATTTGGTTTCCAGGTATGACCCAAAAAACGTGATTTTTCCAAATACCAGGTCCTCAATGAATCTTTCAAAACATGACACAGACCTCTGTCCCAAACGGACCTCGATCCCAAGGCTCCGGCTGTTCACCCTGGGCGGTTTCAAATAGCGCCACGATCCTCCCTGCGGGAAAGCTGGGCCCAGTGGCTACAGCGCTTGAGCCTCTACCCCGGTGGATCGTTGGGGGAATAATATATATATATAATTAAATATATGATATTATATTATATTATTGTATATTATATCATATTATATTATATTATATTATAGTTATAGTTATAGTTATATTATAGTTATATTATATTATATTATAGTTATATCATAGTATATTCTATTGTATTATATTATATTATATTTTATTCTATTATATGTTATGTTATATTATATTATATCATATTATATTATATTATATACAGTATATAATGTGGGTAAAATGTGTCCATCCATTCTGAATAGGTAAATCGTCAATCATAAACCACCCATGACTGGGAATGGCTTTTACATACCACCTATAAAAAATTGTGATTTGGGGCTGGTTTATGGCATTGTTTTACCACATTAGATGGAAAAGAAAATCCCAAATCTCCGCATCACTCCTGTGACAGCTTGGCCTTGTCAAAGGAAATCACTGTGCGGATGGTGCGCTCCTCCTGACAGGGCTTGATGGAACCCCAATTTTTTCTTAGCAAAAGGAACCCGAAACACATCCCCAGCAATAAATACATGTCAAGTGATGGTGAGGGGGACAACCACCCTTACACTGATTGGCCCAAAAGACACGAATTTGTACCAGAATCGCCTTGAAACCTGGTAGTGTACAACGTTTTTCATAACGTAATAATCGTGATATAACTTAACGTGTATTATCGTGTATTAACCTCTGGTAATTTAACATAGCTATTGAAAATGGCCCATTTATAGTTGATTTACCTATTCAGGATGGTGATTTTCCATAGCTATGTTAGTTTACTAGAGGGTAACTTAAGAATTCAGATTTGGGTCACACTTTGGGACCCAGATGGATTGGTGATTCCATAGCAGCTGGGTCCAAAAAAAAGGGGCCCACCTTGGCCATGCGGGAGGCTTTGCCCCAGCCACGGCCATGTCTCCTATCTACCTCGGCCCGGGAAAGGTGGTCTTGAAATGATGCGATATTATCATACATTATCTGGATTTATCTGGTGTTCTGGAATATTGGATTGAAACTACCTGACTACCTTAATCATATGTGGTATTATCATGAATTATCTTAACTGTTGGACCATGAAGTGACTAGTGTGACTATTGGATTCAAGTTTGGGTTTTCGTGGTAAGCTTCTCTTGACATGTTTTTGGGCTGCTTTTGGCCCGTGAACCTTGGCAATATGCTTTGGCCACATGAAAGCTCCGGGATTCACATGGCTTAACATTCTATTTGACTTCTCTTCGTGGGGTCCAAGAGTCATTTCAAATGAAATAGACCAAAATGCCTTTGGCAGCACAACAAAATGCGGGAAATCGTTCACCATCTACTGACCCTGAGTTTCTTCGCGTCACAGCTGATGATCCCTCCGAAGCGTCTTGCTCCACAGATTCTGTGGCAGCTTGCTTGGCCTAAGCAGCTCAAGCATCAACAAAGGTGGTTTTCTGCAAAATGGGGATCCCCAAGAGCATAGGTTTCAATACTCAAATGATCGAACTTTGGATGATTAGGAAACCTCCAAGTAACCCAGGAGTTGGAGCTGGTAGCAGTCCCAGTTTTTCAAGGATAGCCTGCAGTTGTTTGATTGTTTCTAGCCCCACCCCAATTTTTCTCGGGCCAGGAGCCTTCTCGTAGCCTGCGTCAGCCGAATCGGCTTGCGCCTCGGCGAATTTTTGGTCCTGATGAGTCCCAGCGCCGTAGAAACCCGAGGTGTTGAGACCGTCCCTTGCACCATCCCTAGCGGCCCTAGCATCTACCTTTAACTTGACTGATTTCAGTGAGTAGATCCCATGGGCCACTTGAAAACTTGGATCTTCCAGACAATATCCAAAAACTTATCACAAACCGTCTCTCTGAACAGTCACCTTTCCAGGATTCAATGTTGGAGGAGGCTACAGAATGCTCTGCCAGGAAAACGATGCATCAACTGTAGCCTCAAGATATGTTTGGGATTTTGGACCAGCTTCTTCCCACGCTGGGGATCACATCATCATTGTTTTGACCTCCCCCTTCGGAGCCCTGCCACTACATTGGCCAGGTAGACCCCCGTCAGGCTGACCACCTATGCGACCAACTATGGGACAACTGGATCAAATTGGGAGCACTGGAAGATCACCTCTGCGGAGTGGATTTCGCATTGGCAAGTTTGATTTCTATAGATTCTAGAGGTGAAACCCACCTAAGTCCCCATGTTTTAGGGTTAACCCCCACGTTTTCATGGTTAACACATGTATGATAGTTTTGTAAGTTTTATCCCTCATTTTCATGGTCAAATCCCCATTTTTATGAGGGTTAAACTGTGTAGGCAGCTGTCATTTTAAACTCACATCTTTCACTCTGAAAAATCCCAAAAAAAAAACACACTTAAATCCATCTCTTTCAGGCTTTCCCAAGACAGGCCTTGTCGAATTCGACCTCACCGGTGGAAGAGCGCACATTGTGCAGCAGCGACTGCGAGTACCTCGCAGTTCTCCCAACGGTCCAGGGTTGGAAGGGACTTGGGGATTGGACCAACAAGAATTTGGCTTTTGCCATTGAGAAAACCTGGACTTGGAACGATTCTGTCCTCGCTATGCCGGCGATGCCCCTATGCAAGGGTCCTGTTACCATCCAAGCTACAACGGCCTGAGTGCCGCGCTTGTAACCTTCGCTGTCGGATACAAAAATGCGGCCAGTGTCAGTGGCCCCCTGACAGCGGTTGATTTTCCAAAGGCACTGCTTAAATCTAGGGATATCTAGGGACTCCCCCGCCGTGGTTTACGGTGCGAATACATACCATTTTGATCCATTTTGACTTTTGACTACTTTTGGGGCTGACCCTGATTTGTGGACTCCTCAAAATTGGCAAAGGTGAAAATGGATGTGGAAGCCGCAATGGAAGGCGAGCTACATTCTGAACCAACGCAGCAATTCAGTACCCAAAAGAAGTGCTTCACCATCCCCGCCGTCTCGGAGTTCAGGTGCAGAAGGACCGCGCCCTCTGAGGTGTCCACAATTGTGTACCTCAGCAAATCGAACAAGTTGGGAACCAGGTTTTTCATAGGAAAATATGGGAAAAGCATGGGATTGTTGAAGGAAAAGCATCTATATCTGGGGGTTGTAATGTGATGCCCTGCTGGCAATCTAACAGCTTGCGAAAATGAGGAAAATGGCCATGTTGAATAGGTAAATCATCTACTTTCATGGGGCAGGAAATTATGGCCATGTGAAATGACCAAAGGGTAATTCAAAGTAAGAATGGGATCTGCTTAGGATAAAATCCGAATCTGAGGTTATTATGTATTGTTACTCATATGTAATTGGGTAGCAAACAGGAGAGTATCACAAACAAATAGATGCCCCATTTGCCCAATGACTTTCTGCGCTGCGTTTTTACTAGAAATGGGTTGTGTAAGACCATGCCTAATTGAAGGCTTGCGGCACTGGGTTTTCCACATTATCCAAGTGAAGCTTTATTCTTAGGCTTACCACATGAAAAATGGAGGGGGTTGAAGTGGAACGCTGCGGCTTCCAAGTCCACAAATTCTGGGACAAGATCGTGACCCCATGGCTCGCAAGAGTCGTCACTTTCAAACAAATTGGGTATACCCTCTGGTAAACTAACATAGCTGAAAATCACCATGTTTCATGGGTAATTCAACTATAAATATCTATTTCTATGGCAATGTTCAATAGCTATGTAACCACAAACAATCTGCTCAAATCTCAGGAAACACAGCGACACAGCGATCCCAGACGTGTTGGGATACCTCTGAGTGCCCCACCACTTCTCCTCTAGCTCTCCCATCCCGGATGGCAGCAATGCCGCCTGGGTTGCGGGACACCCAAAGGTTGATCCGGAAAATGGAGATGTGTATATCCATACATACACACATGTGTATATATATATATGTAGTATTATGATTATTATGTGTATGTACATATACATGTTACATATATACACTGTAATACACGCATATTTGTTTATATACAAGGCACCCAAAACATCCCCAGACCGCATCGGGGTATACAAAAGGGAAACAATCAGAGCACATCCACACTTTTCAGAGCGATCATATGACAGGACCAACCACAATGGCTATGGCTACCTATACAAGCGGGGTGAACATGGAACCACTGGAACCACGAATTACAAATCGCTCTCAATTTTGGAACTTTGAACCATCCTGTTTCTCGGGTCAATGACCTCTGTCGCCCGTTCCATTCAAGGCTAAGATTGAGTCAATCAATGCAATCGCAGGAAAGAAGCTTTGCAACAGCTCTAACTCGTATACAACTACTTGCCTATATAAATATGGATGCGAAAACGAAATCCTCCTCCAGAGTTTCTGATATGATCTTTGTACCTGTAAATCAATTCTTTAGAGGGAAAACCACCATTCCACATCATTCCACCAGCAAAAGGGCAACCATGGATCACTAACAAAATGATGACATATCCATACATATCCAGTTTTGCTGTGAAAACTCAATTTCTTTTGCTGTTCAAAACCTCATTCTTCGATGGAAAAATAGGCCAAGCACCGGCCCCCAACCAGCCTTCCAGGTGTTGGCTCCATCGTTGGAAACCATGAGGTTCACGGTCTGCCTCTCCTGGTTCGGGACAGGTAGAAATCAACCAGTCTGTCTGGTAGAAGTCAATGTTTAATGATGTTTAATGATGTTTAATGATGTTTAATGATGTTTAATGATGTTTAATGATGTTTATGGTTGTTTTGGGGGGAAAAAAAACATGTTCGAAAATGGTCTCATTTTCCAGTCGTCAGTCTGGTAGTTTGCTGCAGCCTCACTGGATACCTTGGCAACTAGAATGAACCTGGCCGCTCAATGGGTGTCCAATGGGCGTAGAAAGCCAGAAGCAGCAGGAGAGAATCAGGAGACATGATCGATGCATGCTGGTTATGGATCACAGCCGCGGTTACGGCTCAAGACTGAGATGGTTTACCACAGGAGCAAAAAGTGTCAGTGCCGAAAGGTCTTAAGTATTTGCTCTAGGACTGCATAGCTTGCTCTAGGTATTTGCCATGCACCCATGTCATGCTAAGCAACACGGTCTCCGTATGCCCCGGACATCCCCAAAACCAGCCATCTGACTGGCTCCCAAGCGAGGCGGGGTGCACTCGTTGGAAATCATGAACTTGTTCCCATGTTTCAAACCTGAGCTGATGCCGACCCTGGCTCCGAAACCTCCTCTGCTGATCCCATTCACGGAAAACCACCCCCGCCGTCACCCGGAAAACCACGGCATACTACGATGGCTCATGCTGACCCGATCACTAGACTAGATAGCAACCCCAAAAAAAAAGATTGAAAAGTCAAATCCCACTAAGATAGTGTTTAAAACGGTGGGCTACAAAGGAATCACCCCACTATCAGCCCAAAAAACCCACTAAGATAGTGATCATGTTGGCCACTATCCTTTTCGGGGTACAACCAGCGCGCTGTTTAATGATGGCCAGACCCCGACTTCGGCCGCCGCGCTGGTGATTTGGGACGCAGGCCTGCCCTGGTCATTGACATCCACAGCTCGGAAGTCCACCTGGCGGCCCCAGTGGTTGAAAATTAGGACTTTCCATGGCGATTCCAAGGGGCAAACACCAATCATTTTTAAAGGGAATCCCAAAGGGTCGGCCTTACTCGACCTACCAAAATGGTACAGTTGAAGGCAAGTTTGAAGTTTTGGGTCCATATACTGAAATCGTTGGTCCATATACTGAAATGTCCAACCAATCAAATGTCCAATGATTTTCAGTACGACATTTCAGCAGTTTGAAACCTTGGAAACCAACCGATTGATGGATGCCGCATCTCTCGATCATTTCTACATTGCAAAGGCGGACGCCCCGTTTTTGGTATTTCTCCCATAATCATCACGTAAGGTGGAGGGATTAACCACTATTTAACCACCAAAACCATTGATTGTCCACTCCCGAAATTTCATAAAAATAGCGGGAAAATCATGTCCTGCTTAAAAAAGAACAACAACTCATGTCACGAGAAAACAAAAATGGTGAAATATCGATTTCTGAACAACAAAAATGCATTTCTCATGATATCGATTGAAGTCCCTGGTTTCATAGCACCCCTGCAGCAGCTCAGCAGTACCTCGGTACTCCACTGTGAGAGCTTGCCCTGGTCGCTACTTTTGGAGGCGTAGGCAGTGTAGTAGATCTGGTGCCAAGGCCCCCCGAAGCCCCGAAGCTGGATCTTCTGATTTTCATGGGAAAAAGGTGTAGTTTAGAGCTGCATAGCTGTATAACCAATTAAAGCTCGAGGGGTTATATAATCAACTCAAAGTGGGCACTCAACATCATTCAACAAAGAAATCCGCCGACCCCGGCAGACGCAAGGGGGAGCGCGCCAGGGAATAAGACATTTGACTCTTGTCGGACTACTACTACTACTGCTACTACTACTACTGCTACTGCTACTGCTACTGCTACTGCTACTGCTACTACTACTACTACTACCACTACTACCACTACTACCACTACTACCACTACTACCACTACTACCACTACTACCACTACTACCACTACTACTACTACTACTACTACTACTACTACTACTACTACAACTACACTACTACTACTACGACGACGAGTTTCGAAAAAGCTGTCTGGCTGTTGGTTTCTCGCCTTGGAGGCTGGTTGATGGCACGGCAGGAGCAGCAGCAGCGCAGGAACAGCAAGAGCAGCAGCAGCAGAAGCATCAGCGGAAGACAGCACCAGCAGCGTGGAGCTGCAGCTGCCTCCGTCCTTCACTGCTATGGTGTTTCCCTGTCCGGGACGCACGTTTTTGCAGCAGCCAGCAGGCAGCCAGTACTATACAGTACTATATATAGTCTAAGATTTTCTAGGGTGTATAGCCTAGGATTCTCTAGGATTTCAGAAGACACGTTAGGCACTTTTTTGCTGCGATTTTGCGCCATTTTTGGCACGAAATTGGGTGGTGTTTTGCTGTTTCGAGCGAATTTCGAAAAAGATGTCTGGCTGTTGGTTTCTCGCCTTGGAGGCTGGTTGATGGCACGGCAGGAGCAGCAGCAGCGCAGGAACAGCAAGAGCAGCAGCAGCAGCAGCAGCAGCGGAAGACAGCACCAGCAGCGTGCAGCTGCAGCTGCAGCTGTTTTCGTCCTTCACTGCTATGGTGTTTCCCTGTCCGGGACCCACGTTTTTGCAGCAGCCAGCAGGCAGCCAGTGCTATACAGTACTATATATAGTCTAAGATTTTCTAGGATGTATAGTCTAGGATTCTCTAGGATTCTCTAGGATTTCAGAAGACACGTTAGGCACTTTTTTGCTGCGATTTTGCGCCATTTTTGGCACGAAATTAGGTGGTGTTTTGCTGTTTCGAGTGAGTTTCGAAAAAGATGTCTGGCTGTTGGTTTCTCGCCTTGGAGTCTGGTTGATGGCACGGCAGGAGCAGCAGCAGCGCAGGAACAGCAAGAGCAGCAGCAGCAGCAGCAGCATCAGCGGACGACAGCACCAGCAGCGGCAGCTGCAGCTGCCTCCGTCATTCACTACTATGGTGTTTCCCTGTCCGGGACCCACGTTTTTGTAGCAGCCAGCAGGCAGCCAGTACTATACAGTACTAATATATAGCCTAAGATTTTCTAGGAATTTAGTCTAGGATCCTCTAGTATTCTCATAAGATTTCCAGAAAGACCCCTTTGGCACTTTTTTTTGCTGCGATTTTGCGCCATTTTTGGCATCGAATTAGGTGGTGTTTGGCTGTTTTCGATGATTTCGAAAAAGATGGTCTGGTGTTGGTTTCTTCTTTCCTTTTCTCCCTTGGAGGCTTTTTGTGGCAACGGCAGGATCAGCGCAGCGCAGAACAGCAAAGAGCAGCAGCAGCACAGCAGCATCAGCGGACGACAGCAAACCCCAGCCAGCGGCAGCTGCAGCTGCATCTGTTTTCGTCCTTCACTGCTATGGTGTTTCCCTGTCCGGGACTCACGTTTTTGCAGCAGCCAGCAGGCAGCCAGTACTATATATAGTCTAAGATTTTCTAGGATGTATAGTCTAGGATTCTCTAGGATTCT